CAGGAACTGTCTAGTTAACAACACATTATTTTGCTTGACTGACAGCATCATAATGGAGGTGATCGACGCTCGTCATCTGGACACAGCCGGTTGCAATTCGGAGTGCATTATTTTGGGTTGTTTGCAAGGATCTCCATTGTGTGTCACAAAGGAAGGAAGTCCAAATTGGGGCAGCATAATTCAGGAAGGAACGACCTATGCCCTTATTATTCGTTACCAACATTTCTTTATCCTGCATGCGAGGAGTCCAACCCAAGGATTTTCGGATTATGGACGGTGGGGATGGCTCAGAAGGTGGAATTTGTATCAAACGCCTTGGACAGATCAAAAGCTGTCACAATGGTCCGTTCAGGTGGTCGTAGCTGATTGATGCCATTCTCAATTTTTGGAAGTAATTCCTTGCAAAGCCGTCGTTGTGCTATATGATTCCCTGAATTTTTTGCAAAGCCGTCGTTGTGCCATATGATTCTCTGAAACCGTGTTGGTGGGTAGCAAGAACGAAATGCTGTTTCAGTTACGGAAGCAATAGAGATTCTAAAATCTTGGCTACTGGTGACAGAAGAGAAATCGGGTGGTAGGATTCCCCATTAGTAGCGGATTTATCAGGTTTTAGGATTGGAATAATCCGGGAAACTTTCCAAATGTCAGGAATTACCAACTGTGACATCGATAACTCGAGAACTTTGGTCAGATAGTTCCAAGCTTCTTTAACATGAACATGGATATGCCGTCTGGACCAAGGGCTTTGGATGGCTTGGATTTGGAGATAGTTGTATCTACCTCTAAAATTGTAGTTATTTTTACCGCTTTTTTACTATGTTTTGGTTTCTGCACCTATTTCGATTCTTATAGATCATTTTTAAATGGACATAATTACAATAACATTTGTCTGGTTTTCAATTTTGACCAACTACAGAAAAATATACAAAATAGGAAACAAATACAGTACTCCAACATAACTGTTAATTACCAGTGAATATGGAAATAATGTATCACAGAAAATAATGTCGGAGAAATATTCCATGAATAAATCCGTAATTTCTCGAACTATAAGTTAATTTTATGCAACTGGAGCAGTAGTGACAGTTCAGCACAGAGGAAGGCTGCAAAAGAACATCAGTTCGTACTGACAACCAATCAGCAAAAAAAAAAATACCCATTTAAGAGTTCAAGTGAATTTGTTAGACGGTTATACTTGGATATAACCTCAACAACAGAGCGTGTAAAAGCTATGGTAGCAGGTCTACATGCCCGGAAACTATCTAGAAAGTTCTTTATTTCTGAAAAGAATTGGAAAGTTAGATTGCATTTCGCAAAAGCTCTATTAATTGGATGAATTAAAGTTAAATTACCATGAGAAAGGCCAAAAAATGAAAGGCTTGTGCCACAGTATTGCAAGGGTACTGGGAAGCATGGAGGAGGATCAATAATGGTATTGGGCTGTTTTTCTTTTTATGGAGATCGATATATTTACAAGATGAAGATTATGAAGTAATGGATCGGATTGTTTATAACGCTATGGTTCCCTTTGCTGAAGAAAATATGCCCCTTGTTTGAGTGTTTCAGTTTAACAATAACCTTCAAACATACACAAAAACATGTCAAAGATTGGTTGCGGAAGTCAAAAATCAGGTTTTTTATAATAGTCAACACAATGATCAGATCTCTAGAAAAATCTTTGGGGTATCATAGATAGAAAAATAAAAATGTGCTTCACAGACATAACCTCTTCCCAAGGTTTCAGGATACAAGGAATAGCATACCCAAGGATCAAATTGAGCATTTTATTGATTCAATGTCTCGTAGGTGTGCTGCCGTAATGTAAAATGCGATTTGATACCCCTAAACACAAACATTATCCTAATAGATATTTATATTCCAGATTATGTCTATTTGATATTCATCATATCAAAAAAAATATAAATCTGTTATATAAAATACTCTTCTATTTGTATAAATTTCTAATGACAAAAATTAGAACAGTTCTTAAGAAACAAAAAATCATATTCCTTTTTATAACTTTTTCTGCATCTCATTAATCTAATAACGCACCTACAAAGTTCATCATTAGTTCAATTAACAAGGTTATTATTCGGAAAACAACAAGCAAAGACAAAACAAAAATTATATTTGAACATTGGTCGAGACATATTTTTTCCTGTTAGAAACGTCATATTTGCGTTGCAGACACAAAAGAACGAAAACAATGAATAAAAAAGGAAAAAAAAAACCTAACCACTAAAGCACATGACTGACTGTGGAAAATAATAATAAATTGTGTTAGCATTGAAAATAAAAAAGAATGAAGAAAAAAATAAACAATCAGCCTACACAAAAAAATATATGTACATATGTATATATACATATATTCATATATGTTTATATATTTGCATTTCCACGCCATTACTTTTTAGCATATAATTTGTGTTTCTTCTTCTCCCGTACTTGTGTTTTTCTGCCGAAAACAATAGTTTCCACTACAAAGAGGTAGGTCTGCGATCCGAAACGACACAAATCTCACTTGACCAAACTCTCTCTCCATTGTGTAAAAGCAGTAGGGCTGCTACACCGACAGTATATTCTTCCACCTCAGTGTGAGGATTTTGAAATACTCATTCCTAACAGATAATCCTAGGCAATTGGTGTACCTCGGTTCCTCTACGATGAATAACATAGTTTCAAGAGTTTTGTGTGATAACTTTCAATTAAACTGAACAACCATTGGAGGGGTTTTCAAGCAAAAATTGTAGCAATCATGAGGCTTGCACATAATTATTCAAGGAACGCATGACGGGGGACGATATGCGTCGATAGTAATTGGTATCTTATTGGATAAAAATCTACTCTATGAAAAAATATTGTCTTGTCTTCAAAGAGAAGATCTATGCGTCAATAGACATAACGGGATATCTATTTTGAGATAAGAAGGAAACGATCGAAAATCTATTCCGTATATGTCTAATGTAGACTGTTTGGTAGGTACGATCATCATTTAGAATTTTGTCAACAAATTGTCATGGTTGAAATCTCTTCCTTTTTACTCCTCTTTTTCCAATTTTTTCAGGACGAACGCAATGGACTAACCAATGTTAGTCCATTGTCTAAAAATCGACGTATTTAAAATCTAATATATGCCAAATCATATGTCCTGAAATGCTTGTCTTAGGTTTAGTTTTTGTCGTGATATTTTATGAGATTTTCTTCAGGAGCTTTATGAAAGGGAAACTTTCTTTAGATCTTCTATTGCAGGTTATTTACTGGTTTTTGGAGATAAATCATGGCTACATATAATGAGCTGGAAGGTCAATTATTACAACTCAACGAAATTATCGTTGTCATTTTAATGACCGAACAGCAACCAGTCACAACATGATTAGGAACTTAGTCTCCCGTTTTGAGGAACACGGAAGAGTGTCAGATCTTCCAGGAAGAGGTTGATCTGTGCGCAATGAAACAGTTGTGGAGGCTGTACGACAGAGTATAAACGAAGATCTATTTGTCTCGACTCGTCGTCGTTGTACTCAATTGAGAATCTCCAGAACATCCCTGCAAAGAAATTTGAAGCGGAATCTTAACATTTTTCGGTATAAAATTCAAATGGCACAGAAACTGCTCCCCCAAGATCAAAAATATTACATTTATTTTTAATCCTTCAGTCCTTTTTGGGCCACCCTGACTATCGGATAAAAATCTACTCTATGAAAAAATATTGTCTGGTCTTCTAAGAGAAGATGTTCTTCAAACCTATGAGATGAATACCTTATTTTGGACTACTAAGAGAAAAATGCAGTCTTCTCGTCTTCCATGTGAAGTTCTTCAAGTTTCCTATGTTAGAAGATGTTCTTCGTGTTTCCTATAACGAGAAGAAGACCTCCTACAGACATTCAGTCCTTCTATGATAATAACAACAAAAGACATCTCTGACAATAACACCCATCACACCTTCGGGTATTCTATGAAAAGAAAAATTTTCTGATCTTCGATTATAAAAGAAACCTTATCTTCTTTTAGTCTTTTATGGAAATCTTTCTTTTGATTTTCAACGGGACCTTATATTGGTATTCGGTGAATTCTTCTGGTCCCATACAGTGTTACCGCTGGGAATTTTAAAAAAGTTGCACAAAAAGTTGCCCCCTTACTTTCCCGACACGTAAAAGTAAATTTGTCAATAAAACTGTTTCGAAAATATAACAGATATCCTTGGAACTCAAAAAACGACGTAAATGAATCTTAATTAGTTTAAATTTACAAATAAAAGGGAAAAAACCAACATAACAAAAATCGGAAAAAGTCAAAAAAAATCTTAAAAGATTGCAAATTGCGACTTTAGTCTCTCATATGATAAGTTGTTCAGTGTTCCTATTAAAGAATATCTCCTATGAGAAGACCAAATGACCAGGGGTCATTGTTTACCTTTTAGCACACATAATTATATGCTTCGTAGTAGATTTTATAATTTGAGTTATAAAATCCACAAAAGTATTATTTTTTTTAGGTCTCTACTAGAATGAATTAAATTGTGATGAAAGAACAATAACCATTCAAATAAATGAAAAATATGTAACATCGATATATTGGACGACTTTATTAAAAACCATACAAATGCATGTCTACAATGTAAAAAACTATAAATTTGATTGCATTTCTTCCAATACAAAAAATATATATTCAAGTGCTAGTAAATGTATAGGGGGAAAGGAAACGAAAGTTCACTAAACCATAAAAATGCAATAATAATAAACAAAAGAAACATGTATGTATGTGGGTTGTCGGGCTGCAGTTATTTGTAACGACTTTATAGATGAGACAGAACTATTATTACTATTTTTTTATTACTATTAATATGAAAAAGTAATGGAAGGGAGAGTGTCACGTCAATGACATTTATTGGTTCAAGTCAATTATCTATGAAAAGCCATCTAACTAATAATGATTTAACACTTGGACTAAATTGTGATTTGAGTTTATATAAATTAAATAAGAAAATCTAATTAATATACCTTTAAAAAACTTTCCTGACTTAATCATAAGTAGTTTTTAGCAAAATACTTGGTTTTTTGTTTTAATTAAATGGATATATAGAGTATTATTAAGGAATAAAAAAACAACGATATGAAAAATAGTAAAAGAATATACTTGTTGAATTTGTGTATAATACACAGATAAAAAGATTTCATTTAAACAAACATACTAATGAAATTTCAAGTCTAAGACCAATCGAAAAATATAGCAAAGTTATAAAAAAGAAAAACAAACGAAAAAGCTTCATCATTCATTACTTACAGTAGAATGCCGCCAAAATTTAATTAAATCGTGTATATCGGAAGAGGGTGCCAACAATAAAAAATCTCTCCATTCATTATAGCTAATATTTAAGCTACCATCCTGATCCATTCTATGAACAAAAAAGACAAATAATTTATTCGCTTAAAAATTGTATTTTGAGAGAAATGTGTGGTAGGCCAACCTGGAAAGTAAATGTTTGGCTTCTTCCATGTCTACTTCGATTCCTAAGTCCATAAATGCCGATATCAACTCCTCCAAATCGACTTTGCCTGCAAACAACAAAAATATCAATTAGATTTGATATTTTTTTTTAATTAGAAGCTCACACTCCCTCTACATACCATCTCGATTTTTGTCCAAGTGTGAAAATTGCAAACGTAAATTTTTCTCATGTTCTCGAACATAATGTACAAATTCAGCAAGACCCACATCGCCACTTTGTGTTTTATCAGAGTGTTCCAAGAATTTCTAAATTAAAAATAAAAGAAAAAACAAAAATCCGAAATTAAAATAAATTCAAAAGAAATAAATCTTGTAAAAATGACACTGATTCCTTTGAAAGACTACATTTATGAAATCGGTGATTATTCTGGTGTTCTATGACAATTTCTTCATTTGGTATTCTATGAGATTTTGTACGGCATATCACTCTTATTGGGATTATGACAAAGTCTTCTCATATAATACCTCCTTCAGGCCTTATGTGAGAAGACATATGATACCCCCTCCTTCTGAAAAAATTCTCTGATAAAAATGTTTGTGGTATTCAATACAAATGTGAGATCGTTCCTGATCGCTGCTAATGATCTTATATCGAATTATATATATATATATATATATAAATATGCCTGCTAATGAAAATGGAAATCCTTCCATTGAATCTTATTATTTGAATTCAAAAGATAAAACATATTTCAAATAAATCGTTTATTTTTGTACTTTTAACATTCTTACGACCAACATAACAGTTCAGTATTTGATTTTGAAACACCCTACAATGTTACCAAAAATATGCCTTTTAATTCATATAGACTACAATGTCATTGTGAAATAAATATTCCTACAAAACATATCAAGAGGCAAAATAAAAACAAAGCAGGTGCATATAATATATATGTACATACGTGCAACAGATCTTCTCAACTTACCTCAGCATATACACTTGACAGACCAAATTCTCGTAATGCCTCCGACAGATCATGTATATCGATGCGACCGTTACCATCACGATCGAGTTGTTTGAAAAGATTACCCAAACGTTCTTCATCCTCGTGTGGTAGTTCGGTTGGCAATTGGGCATGTGTTGCCGCACCAGACAAGAAATTTTGCAAGGTTGTGTTGGGAACATTGAGATGAGTGGCAGTACCACTGCTGCCGCCACCACCACTTTGGGGAAACTGTAAATTGTTGGATGATGAATGGTGATTATAGGCCGAGTTATGATAGGTGGTATTATGATTGTTATGGTGCAAATGTTGTTGTTGTGGTGGCTGTTGCGTTTGCTGCTGTTGTGATTGATCGGCAACTGAATTTGTATTTAGCACACTCTGTATGGGTATCAATTTGTGATGGGATTGTGCTGCTGTAGCTGTAGCGGCAGCAGCATGTGCTGATGCATTCTTAGCAACAAAATTGGCTGAGGTATTTGAATTTGTGTAAGCCGATGATTTTACAGGCGCAGCAGAGATAGCTGGTGACGATGGCTGTGACAATGATGCAGATCCAACATTGGACAATGATGAACTGGATGATGTCGATATGGATGAAGACGATGTGGACGAGGAGGAGGAGGACGACGAGGAACCTACACTGCTGCTGGAATTCGACGAACCCTTCTTCAACTGTTCAATTTCATTAACATTTGCACTCTTGTTGCTGCGCTCTTGCGTATTGACCATTCTAAAATCTTTTTTGGTTAACGTTCTCTGCTGCTCGTTTTTTGTTCGGTCTGTGTGCTTTCTTCTCTGTTTTTTACGGGGGAGTGGGGATTTCCTTTTTGGATTATTGAATAAAAAGCCCTCGAGTTTATTCAATAAAAGATAAGATAATTTTATTCTATTGAGAAAGATGTTCAATATTCTTTGGTTTTGGTTTGTTTTGAAATCGTTTGTGCACTTAAATGGGAAAGAACTGTAACAACACTTGATTTGCCTGAATCCTCTGGAAACGCTCCAACTGTATTCCTTCCTCTGTTGTATTCTCTGGCGCTCCACTCTCTCTCGCTCTCTCTTTTTAGCTGTTTCTCCAGTCTATGGTATCATTTTCGTTATATTTCCAATCGTTTTTTGCATACTTAAGCAATTATTCAATACGAATTTTAGTTTCGGCGTCCAATAGTCCTGCTAGTAGGGCGTTGAATATCTTTAATTGTTTATTTTGCTCTGCTTTCAATTTTTATATTTTTTTTCTTTTTCGGTAGTACTGCCTTCCGCACAATTGTTCTTCTTCAGCTGCCGCTGACACGTAGGTTTATGTGTTTGAGTGTGTGTCTGGATGCAAAATCTAAAAGTACACATAAAATAAAAACGAATATTTGTTTACATTAGCATTTTTTAAGATTATTCATCGACGCAAGAGAGGCGTTTTCTAAACAATACCAAAAAACTGTGCTGTATGTGCCCACTACAAAATTTTATGTATGCTTGTTGTGTGGTTATAATACACAGCAAATTGTATAGAATTTAAACTATTTAACCTTTTTTGTTGCCGTTTAGAAGACACCAAGAAAATTTTTGTATTTTATCTCGATCACATTTGCCAAAAGCAAAAAGGCATTTTATTTAGAAAGAAATTTTGAATAAATCTACAAAAATTTGAAATTTGCGGTATATTCCCAAAAATAGACAGATAGGAACAATGAATTTCCGTTGGTAAAAAACACTATGGTTTAAATCAAGGCGTACGTTACAAAAATACTTCAGAGACCGTTGTAGAGTGGGTGAAATACAAATCTGTGGAAGTTCTCCGAGTATTACAAAAATCATACGGTATTATTTATTGCCTGGATCTGTATTCAGATCTGACTGAATAGCATTTATGCTTTTAATATATAAGATTACGCCTTTGCAAAACTATGAAAAAAAAAACTTACTACTACAAACACATCGCAGTTTCCTTTGGATTTCTCTATACCACAGACCTTCAGAAGACATTTAAAAGATCTATGCGTAGAAGACTTTTTAAAGTTCCACTATATAAATAAAAAATATTGCCTTTAAAGCTTGTTTGCTATCCGTAATAATATTTATTGTATTTTGTCCTTGCTTTGAACATAACTAGTCAAGACACTCTGTTCGAGCTTGAACCTCTGCCTGTAGGATCGCGCTGTGATCTGTAAGACGAGAAGAAATTTCGGTACCGATAAAAAAGTCCCAGTCCAGTTTTTCCTCCTAGTCGGGAGCCATCTGTGCAGCAACAGTTACCAGTCGACATCTGAACTAGTGTTCCACTATTCCATTGTTCTCTATCTGTTATTATAGTTTCGCACCGTGTCACAAATCTCGTTTCGGGTATGCGGTCTGAATCAAAGATATTGAATGTTGACTCAGTTGAAACCGCCGCTTCATATTTTTTACCTAGGCAACACGATCTCTGAACTTCTGCAACGCTTTTACGTTACATATTTTATTCATTGCTGGCGCATATGCTACAATTGGTCTAATAACGCTCTTATAGATCCAGTGTATAATCTGAGTATTGAAACCCCATTAAGAGCCCTTTGCTGTAGGTGGTCTTTCCGAATTAAATTTCTTGTCTACAATTACTCCCAACAATTTTATTTTGATTTTTGTATTAAAGCCCAAATTGGTACTATATATATATATATATATTATAAGTAAATTTTCAAGTATTCTAATTCTTACAACTAAATATTTGGTAAAATGCCAGGATTTATTGGAAGTGACCTCGATTAATTAAACTACGTCGATGCTGAGAAGTTTAAATACGACAGTCTTCAACCTTACAAAAAAAGTTGGCAAATCCTTTCAAATTTATTACAAAAATAAATAAAAAAGAATTCCATAAACAGTAAATTTTTGCAAGTTCTGAAACAAGACGACTATGTACACATGTAGTTTCAACTACTTGAAAAAAATATTTGGATCTAATCTATTACTAGCAAAACATAAAATAGTGTTTGAAGATTCCAGTTGAATCAACAGATTTCATTTTGAATTTCCAAAATAAATTTTCAAAGAATAAATTTATTTCCTTAAATTCTTCAACAAATCAAAATCTTCTTCTGATGGAAACTTATTGCCAACAACAACAACAACAAAAACTAGTTGACAATTTTTTTGGCAATGAAGCTGTGTGAAATATAAAAGCAAACACCAAATTTAAAACCATATCATGGTTAATTGTCAACGTTTTCAACCACAAGAAATGACATCATTATCATCAGCATTTTTTTCTGTCGTGGGGCAGGTAGGGAAACTATGACGAAGTCATAATTGATTTTTCTTTTTTGCTTCATACCACCAAAGAATTAGGTTGAAGGTTGCACACGCGCTTCCGTGAACCTTGAAAAAAATGTTAACTCTATTAGAGACCCAGAGGGACGCAGGACTCGCAAAAACAGGGGTAAGAAATTCGGCAAGCACCAGCTGATTTGTCGTCCGCAACAAAATCAATTTTCGTCGGTGTTGGCGATGCAAGGAAACACCTTTTTTCTTAATTTGTAGCAATTGGCAACTATTTAAATAGAAACTACAATATATCATATACACTTTTTTATTAGATAAAACAAATTTTGTTTCGGGTTTTCTACAATGTTCTTGTAATTCTTACCGAATACGAAAATCCAAAATTTTCTTTTATGTGACTGGAGAAGACTGTTGTTGGTTGGTATGTCTTTTTTTCTTTTGGCAATTAATGCTCTTTTGAATACTTTCTGTTTTGCCAAATTGGCGAATCGACCAGAAAATATTTAGTCAAACAAAACTGATACTTTGATTCCCTAGGAATTTTGCTCTAGGACTCTTTGCGAAAACAGTACAATTTGTGTACACTTCACTTTCACGCACTTTCTTTTCGTGTGTTAAATAGAGTTGGGTAGTTCCGGAACGAACTAGTTCATTGGAACTATTCCGAGAAAGGAACGAACGGAACTAGTTCCAGTTCTTTAATTAATATAATTCCTTTCTCTGATCCAGTTCCTTTTTTGAACTATTTGAAGCAAAGGAACTATATGGAGCAAAGGAACTATTTGGAGCATAGGAACTATAAAGAGCAAAGGAACTATATGGAGCAAAGGAACTATATATGGAAAAACGAAAAAAAGAATGATGAAAGAGAGAGATTCAAAAGAACTATGTAGGAGTCGGAACTATATGGAGCAAAGAAATTGTATGAACTAAAGGAATTATATGGAGCAAAGGTACTATATGGATCAAAGGAACTATATGGAGCAAAGGAACTATATATGGAAAAACGAAAAAAAAAATAATAAAAGAGAGAGAGAGAGATTCAAAAGAACAGTGGGAAGCCTCCAAGACTCCAGCCTTCATAAAATTCGCTTGTTAATCGTCGTTCTGCCAATACTCAAGCGACGTCGTACGCAAACCTTCGCCAACAAATGGTCTGTTCCAGTACTTTTTATACCCTCCACCACAGTATGGAGGGTATATTAATTTTGTCATTCCGTTTGTAACTCATCGAAATATTCATTTCCGACCCTATAAAGTATATATATTCTTGATCAGGGTAAAATTCTAAGACGATCTAGCCATGTCCGTCCGTCTGTTGTAATCACGCTATCTTCTGAAGGAATTGAGATAGGGTGCTGAAATTTTGCATAGGGTTGTCTTTTGTCTGCAGGCAGGTCAAGTTCGAAGATGGGATATATCGGTCCACGTTTAGGCATAGCTCCCATATAAGGGTACCCCCCAATTTTCGGTATTTTGGGGTTCTTGAGCGCGTTTTTCAAGCGAATTTGTAGTAAATGTATCCACAAAAAATAAAAATATAGGTCCACTTTTTCTTGTAGCCCCACGTAGCGGATCAGTATTTTTTGGGTTTTTATCGTATTTTTCACCGAATTGACTGTAATTTAGTATTTTGAGTTCTTAGCAGGTACCAAATCTCTCCACAAAAAAATTTAAATATAGGTCAATTTTTTCGGATATCCCCCATATAAGGGTACCCCCCAATTTCGGTATTTTGGGGTTCTTGAGCGCGCTTTTCAACCGAATTCGCTGCAATTTTGTACATTGGGTTCATATTGCGTACCAAATATCTCTACTAAAAATTATAAATATCGGCCCACTTTTTCTGGTAGCCCCCATATAAGGGCACCCCAAATTTTCGGTATTTTGAGGTTCTTAAGCGCGATTTTCAACCGAATTCGCTGAAATTTGGTACAGTGGGTTCATATTGGGTACCAAATATCTCTATTTAAAATTATAAATATCGGTCCACTTTTTCATTTCAAATACCTGTCAGTATACCTGTGGTGGAGGGTATCCAAAGTTCGGCCCGGCCGAACTTAACGCTTTTTCACTTGTTTAATAGTAAAGCTAGTAAAAGGGAAACATTTCAAGTCTCAGAGTACAAAATAATTTGAAAAGTTCGGGAACGCAAATCTAGTAAATATGCCAAAGTTAGATGGCAATACTTCAAAATCAACATAACAGCCAATCAGAAGTAGGCATTCCTGTTTACCATTTTTATTCGGACAAATTTTTCGAGAAAAAGGTTTAGAAAGAGAAAGCCATTTTGTTTTGTGCTCTCTTAAATTTGATTCAATGCTTTACCAGTTTTATGGGTTCAGGAACGGTTTTCGAGTAAAAAGTTGCAAAACTTGTAAAATTAGTAGATTCTTTTAGGTTTTGGAACGGAGCTAAAATAAAAACGACGACTGAAAAAATTGAAAAACGTTCCACCTGCTAACGAATGGGAGGAGAAGACAAAATGGCCGATAAAGATGAACTCATAATGGAAAATGGTATAACCGAAAGTTTACTAATGAGGTGGGATAGAGACTAAATGTTTAGGCAAATTATGATTAGGGATAAGTAAATCGACTTTCGATTAATCGACTTTTTGTATTGAAAAGTCTAATGCCATGTACAGACGAGCGTTGTTCCCTCTCTCATTCGTGGTTCGACTCTTAATTATGAAGTAATTACATAGTTCAAAGGAACTACGTTAAGGAACTAGTTCCTTTTTAAAAAAGAAACGAGAATGATCGATCCGCTACGTGAACTAGATTGCCAAACTCTAGTGTTAAACCGTAAAATTTGTTAATTTCTAATGGTTTTTTGTTTTTTCTAGGGATAAGTAAATCGACTTTCGACTAATCGATTAATCGACTTTCTGTATTAAAAAGTCTACTAATCGAAGGTGTGATCATTGAGGAAATCGCAAAGTCGACTTTTCAAGATTGACTTTCGATTTTCGTCATTAATACTTGGTTCATTGTCAAAAAGCATATACTTACTATAAACTTTATTTCGTCTGATGACAACAGTTCATATAAAATAAAAAAAAATAAATTTTTAGTCGGTAAAAGTCGACAATCGTAATGCAAGGGATGGCTCAAAGCGAACATTATGCTTAGCCCTTTAAATGGCGTCAGTCAAAGCGGCGCTTTTGTTATTAAAGGGCTAAGCAGAATGCTCGCGTTGAGTTATCCGTTGCGTTATGTGTTATCGAAAATAGAACAACCACAAGGAAGCGATAACACAAACGCTCGAAGTTGATGTGCGCTGCTCTTCGGAGTTAAATATATTTCAACTTTTTGCGTGCGTTAACGCGATAACAAAAAAACGCTCAACGCGAATGTTCTGTTTAGCCCTTAAGGGTGGCTCATATGTTTTAGATAATCGTTATGTAAAATGATGATTTGACTGGGCCATATCATTTAGTATGTTGATACTATGATGCAATAATAAGGTGATGTATCAAAACAAAAGCTTTTGTTTTTGTCTCGATCATCTGTCAAAATGTTCCTTATAATATTTCAAATGATTGGCAACATTACGCATCGAATTCAAGTAGAAATTATCCATTTTGACAGTTAATCGAGACATCAGCTGCGCTAAATGGACTACCTATTCATTGTACCATGGCCTTTACTATTTATATAGTACCAAGTACAAAGCAAATGTGTTCGCTATAAAGAAAGTTCGTTATAACCGGTGTTTGTTATAAGCGTACTCGACTCTATCATAATTTCATCATAATACAAAAAAAACTATTTTTAGTTCTAGTTGTAATAAAAACTAACAATAGATATTTAGAAAAAATTGTTATCGTAGTAAAAACTAACAAATTCTAGTAATTCGGTAAAATACTTTCGGATTTCAAAATATGTATATATATATACATATATTATTTAAAAATATATATGCATGTACACAAAATACAAATATTACATTGAAAGATGTCTCTTGACTCTTGAGAATAAAAATATCAAATCAAATAACTTTTTGATTTTATATGAATGCAGTATTAAATGTAAAATAATTACTCAGCACGCTATCCAACATAAAATGGTATCCCCTGGTCCTAGTTCCAGCTCATTTTAGAGAATAGTTCATTGAACTATTTACTCGTAAGGTAAACAGTAGTACCATAGATGTGGATTTGTGGTCCATCACATCTTGACCGGGCGGGGAGACTAAACCAAGTGTCGCTAACAAGTTTTCTTTACAAGTGATTCCAAGGACACGATATGACTCTAGCTCACCGAGCTCTTTTTACATGGTTCATTGTCTTGGTCTTCCTAATTCTTGTATGCCTGCGACTTGATCCCCGTACCCATTGGAATTGGTTCCTGGTCTTCATACCGCTATGGGTATTCGATGGAATTCTTATCATATATGTCATTATAAAAATCGTTAGAAAATGGAGAAATCTCAAACGTTTAAAGGAGCTATTGGTTAATTACCAATGGTACATTGGAGGAGTGCTACTGAAAATTGCATCCCAGCTAATGATATGCTTGACGTTGGAATATCCAGAACTGGAAATTTCCATATTTGTTACAATGATACCCATATGGATATTGTTGTCAGCTTCGGTGGTTTATGTTTTCGGAAGATTGCATAAAATTGAATCCTGGTGACGTCAAGATCAGAAGGAAATCAACGATGAATGTACTGAGCGCTTATTTAGTTTGTAAAATATAGGAAACGTCGTACAAGTACAATTTAACGTTTCATATCTCTCTTCTTTTTTTCAAAATTATAACATATTGTTGTATAAATCATTATTTTTAAGTAAATTGTAGCCTATCGTATTTTTCCAGAATAAAAATCTTTATTTAAATCTATTCTATTATTATACATTGCGGATCTTCTAATGACTGTTACAAAATTAAAAACCATATTTGCTTTGTGTCGCCCTTCTGTTTTGACGATTTGCTGCCCACATAGCCTGCAACTCTGCTTCGTTGGCCTTGGCTTTGTGGGCTAGATACGTTATTTGATGTTTACGACGAGTACCGGCAACTGGCTCTTCATCGACTAAAACTCCAGTCGGTTGATATGTTGTCGATGAAGCCAATGCTGTGCGCATCCATTCATCCTTGTTTGGCAAAATCTGATCACTATTTAAATCCACAATATTTATCGGTTCATTTTTCCTCCTCTTTGCACTGCTACCAACAAGAGCTTGGGCGGCCTCCGAATCCAGTTGACTTTCCTGATAACGTTTTCTAGCCGCCTCTAATTCTTGCTGATTTCTGTTTAGCTCTTCTTGTTCCTTGGCGGATTTGTTTTCACATTCCTTGAGATATTTATTTGTAACCTCTGCCATTTTGGCTGCCTTCTTTGCGACCAACATTGATATTTCATTGGCACTGACATCAGGAAGTTTAACATCATCATCATCGGATTGAAGGGAGAAGAAATCATTGCCACTTGTTGCGGCCTTATCATCATCTTCCTCTTCTTCTCTTACAATATTTGTTTTCGTTTTAGATTGAGGATTAGTTTTCTTTACTGTATTGTCCGTATCAATACCTTCGGTATTATGAGCTGGGCGGCGGTATTTCACAGTATCGGGAATAAATGCTGATGTGGGATGTGGTTTCGATGCAGTGGGTTTAGTTTCATTTGTAACAACTTTGTTCTCCTTTGAAAACTTTCTCTCAGATTTGGCCTGCGGTAGAATACTCAAAAGACCACAACCTTTAGGTTTATTTCTGCCTTCGTTGTTGCCCACAGTTTTGGCTTTTTCTTTCATTTCTGTATTGACATCGTCGAAATCTTTCAGTGAAGGTATTGAGATTTTTACAGGTCCTTTGCTGGGTGGAGGTTTAACATCTGAACTTACAAAATTGTCTTTCTTGTGCAAAAATTCATCATCTTCTTCTTCGATAATTTCCTTGGCGTCGCTTAACACCTTCGGAGTTGGCAATACCGAAAATGTGGTCAAGCTTCCTACAAGTTCTTGGATTGATGATTCTTGTTTTGGACGTGGAAGGGATAGTGAAAATGTGGATGATTTCATTTGATCTTCCGTTTGATCCAAATAATCATCATCATCGTCACTAATGTGGCCATTTGTTACCAACTTTGGAACAGTTCCATTAGCTGTTTGATTTGGGTGTTTCTGTGAGGTGGTTGTTTCTTTCGCAGGAATTGTGGATTTTATCGGCTCTTCATTTTGTTCATCGGAGTCGGATTCTTCGCCACTACTATAATCATAGGCAACCAGAGACATCGCAAAATATTTCAAATTAATTATTTTATCACAGGAGACGACAACAAACGCAGATGATGGTTTAGAAAATGTTTTTATTCTTCTTCTTTTTCTTATCTGCAATTAGACATTCACATTGAATGGAGTGCCACCATTGGTGGACTGATCGATATCATACACTCATTATATTAGGTTCGTTCGTTTACTTTCCCAGTAATATTTACTCAGTAAAGGCGGGATCACATGATTGCCGCAATGCGCCAATTATTGGTGCATTTTATATGCCAATCGTGTGATTGCACAATTTATTGTCCAATGCGACAATCAAAAATAAATTGTGCTGATTTGCGGCAATCAAATACAACTCTGGTACGACAATCGTGTGAACTGTTAATAGACAACCTTGCGCAAATTTAAAGTTGAAAAATGCGTCAATATTTATTGTTTTCTAGTGCGTCAATCAAAGAAGACAATACGCGTCAATAACCTGATTTTTTTTAAATAATATTTTTTCTTGTGTTTGTACCGTCAACATTTCTTTGTCGTAAGTAAAGTAAAGTTAATTTAAATTGTTGTATTTGCTATAATTATGTTCATATTATGTATTTGCAGCTTTAATATGGAATTCGGTGATTGCATTGTATACGAAAATTCAGCTGAGCTTGAGTTCTTTTCCCCCGATCAGCAACCAGAAACACCTGTGCCGAAAAAAAGAAAAAAACCAAGTGTAATTTGTTCCTGGACCTACACTGCAATACAGGAGCTGATACAAGCTGTGGAACAGCATCCATGTGTTTGGCAGTATTCATCCACCGAGTACAAAGATAGGAATAAACGGGAGCAGGCATGGCGGGAAATTGAAAAAATGTGTACAGGGCACACGGTGGAAGACTGCAAGGCCAAATGGTGCAACATTAAAACGGCCTTTCAAAATGTAAAAAAAAAACTAAAATCAAAATCTGGTCAGGGAGCCGAAAATACCATACCACATTGGCCGCATTGGTCTGCAATGCAATTTTACAACGACCACTCTGTGTCAAAAATGTCAAGTACAGTGTCTGGAAGTACTTCACAACATGCCGCTGCTGAGATTGTAAAGGTAGACAAAAGTGACATTTTGCAGCGTGCAGTTAAGTGTTTAGATGCGGAGGAAGATAATTGGCACGCGATTGGGATGTATTTGGCATCACAAATGCGAGAAATTGCCAAGAAAAACAAGAAGGCTGCGAACAAACTGCATTTCCAGCTTGTCAAAGTCGTAATGGATGCAGCTTTGGAAGCTGAAGAAGATGATTAAGCCTTGATAAATTTTTTGCGTTATATTTCATTTTTTAAATTGAATTTTTATAGTATGTATATGTAAGTTTTTGTTTTGTTATTTTGTTTGCAATATTGAAGTACCTTCCTAGTCCGTATTTTTTAGATACTAAAAATGAATTAAATAAAACTAGTAAATTTTCTGATTTTAAATTAAAGTTTAAATTTTATTTGATATATAAAATTATTTATATATTTTTATATTGCCAGCTCAATTCTCCAATAGGAGACATGAAATACTTTTCCATTTCATCCCGAACAGCCTTTGCTTCACTTGTTATATAAGAACTTGGAACATTTTCTGTTCCACTCACAGCATCTAGTGGGAAGTCATTTCGCCATGTACCAGGAATTAAAGCACCGTCCTCATCGTAGCGATCAACAAGCAACGACGTTGTATAATTTAAATTTTTTTTTAACAAAAAATTGTGTAATGCACAGCAAGCTAGAGTTGTAGAGGTTGTTTTCTCTGCATTAAGCTTGGAAGGGCGTGAAAAAATTTGAAATCGCTTGACCATTATGCCAAATGCATTTTCTACAACACGTCGTGCTCTCGATAGCCTGTAGTTAAATATTCTCTGCCCTGCAGATAAACTTTTACCAGGATATGGCTTCAGCAAATGTTTCTGCATGCGGAAAGCATCATCCGCAACCAAAACAAATGGAACATTTGCTTGACGACCTGGCAATGGTTTTGGAAGTGGCAAATTTAGCTCATTATTGTTTAAAGCACGTTGAAAAGTACAGTCTCCAAAGACTCCACCATCCGACACACGACCATTACAGCCAACATCAACGTATAAAAAGTTGTATTCGGCATCAACAACTGCCATTAGCACTATACTATGTGTACCTTTATAGTTATAGAAGGTGCTTCCTGAATTAGGTGGTGCTATAATTTGCACATGTTTGCCGTCAACCGCCCCTATGCAGTTCGGGAAGTTCCATAGTTTGTTAAATTTGAAAGCAACGACATTCCATTCTTCCTGCGTGGATGGTATATACATACATATCAAAAGAAATAATAAGTCAATTAAAAAGCATAAATATGTGTGTATTTAGATTTTTCATACCTTTATGTATGCACCTTTTAACGCTTTATAAATAGCATCACAAACAATTGGTACGAAAAGTGATATGGTATTTGGGGCAACACGGAAGAAGACCGAAAGACTTTTATAACTGTCACCAGATGCAAGAAATCGAAGTGTCACAGCTAAGCGTATTTGTTCGGGAATAGCCTTTCGCATGTTTGTGTCTTGTTTTTTAATATATGGTGACACTAGTTGCAACAATTCGATAAACGTTTCGTCATCCATCCGGATAAAATTTTTAAACAAAAACTTTTGGTTTTCGATTTCCCGGAATTCCATTAATGTTTTGTCATATGCACCATCAGTGCTTCTTTTTGTGAGCCACTCTCTGACCCACGTACTTCTATTTACTTTTTTTTTCTTTTCTTTCCTTTCATTTTTCTCATCGTCAAATGCATACACCATAATTATAGCTGCTGCAATTTTCTTTTTTTTTAAAGAACACATCTTAATAAAACAAATTTTTAAATGCTTTAACATTTTTAATAAACAAACTTTGACACATAGCAGCTGCTTCTGATATTTGCCGTGTAGTAGAACAATCGTGTGACTGAAGTTGGACAATAATTGTCACTTGATGGTTTTGAGACAATATGCGGCAATCAAATTTATGAAAAGTTGGACAATCATGTGACCGCAGAGAATTTGATTGTGACAATTTATTTATTGTAGTAAAACTTTGGACAATAAAAATTGGTTTAAATTGGCGCATTGCGACAATCATGTGATCCCACCTTAAGAATTTGCAGAGAGTAAATACGAATTTTTCCTTTTCAAGAGAGAAAACTGCAAAAAGTAAACGAACAACATCCAGTAAAAAGATTGTTTCGACACAGCTGATTAAAACAACAAACAAATTGGCGCAAACTATAAGACAGCATTTTTATTAGAAAAATGGATAACAAGCGGAAAATTGATGTTGTTTGTTCCCCATAAACATTTAAAAGGGTTGTGACCTGTTATTTCTGTATCTGCAATTGATATGGGGGTGGACATAACCGATGGTGTTCCAGACATGTTAGGGATGCACACTTTTTTGTTTCGATTTGGAACCTTAAAAATCGTTCGCCAATTACTCTTATTACTCTCATTTTTAAATACTTGCGTTTTCTTCATCCATTTTGGTATTTAATGATACAAAACAATCAATTTTCTTGAGAACAATTTTTTGTTTGTTTACAAAACATAACAAAACAGCTGATTAAATATCAGCTGATGGTACAAGAAAATTCTTACTGAGTAAATTTTCCTTGTAAGAATTTGCAAATACTCAGTAACACAACTGTCAAATCTGCTCTCTCAATTCACTCTCTTTTACTGGATTTTTGGGTAAACGAACAACATTTTGTAATAATTTGTACAAATTCGTACAAATTATTGAGTAAACGAACGAACCTATTATTTTTTCACGATACATTGGATTTCTGGCAAACTACTTTTTGTTTTTATATTTCGTTTAATAAAAAATAAGCAAACAGATAAAAATTAATGATATATGTACAGTTGGTCTGTTCCCGTACTACAAGAATGTACAATTTTTTCCTACGATAACACTTTTTTCCTTTATGATATCGAAAAAAATAGTAAAATATAGTAGATTCATCCAGTACGGGAACAGACCAAGTAATTAGCATGGCCTATAAATAAGGTCACCAAGGGAGACCAGCTGATTATCGATACCTCTCAAGTTTGCTGTCAAAATGCATTATTGTGAATTGACTTCCAAAGTCGAAATTTTTGTCATTAGACTTGAGAAAAAACAGCTGTTTTCCGATTTCGATTGCTATATTTGTGATCTTATTAATAGATCTTGGTAATTAGTTTCAAACAAGATAGTTGTCATAGCCTATAAATAAGGTCACCAAGGGAGACCAGCTGATTATCGATACCTCTCAAGTTTGCTGTCAAAATGCATTATTGTGAATTGACTTCCATTATGAAAACGTAAACAAAGTCGAAATTTTTGACATTAGACTTGAGAAAAAACTGTCGGCCTACACATTTTGATTTAGCCTCGCGTTCTACTTCCTTAATCGACTTTTGGCTTGTTAGTGATATTAATTTGCTTTCTATAATTGATCAGGTCCAATGTCCTCCTATATCTGACCATGTTATGATTTTCACTAGTTTGAAGTTTAATTTCCATCGTCTGCCTGAGTTTGTTGAGTATTACGATTTCTTTAATATTGATTGGGTTGGGATTAATGAATTTATAGGTGAATTTGATCGTCAATCCTTTTTTGAAGCTACTGATGTTGATACTAAGAGCTCTATTATTGATTGCCTTTTTAAAAACCTTTTTAATTTCGTTCCACTGGTTAGAAGAAGAACTTCTTATACCATTGACCCTTGGATGACATCTAGGAGAGTTGCTTTTTATAGATCACTCAGGGACCTGGCATATTCTGTGTATCTATCTGACCAAACTTCTGAGAATTGGAATTCTTGCAGGCTTCGTAACAAGGCGAAAAGTGTGATACCCAAAGAGAGAAAGATGCATTTCGCAAAACTATTTGCTGGGTTAGATTCCACTGGTTTGTGGAGGGTTCTTAAAGCATCTGGTTGTACAAATAGTGCAAATATTTCTATCTCTGAAGATGTAAATGTCATTAATGAATCTTTTGTCAGTCCTAACTATAGGAGTTATGAACATTTTGATTTCGATGAAATTATTAATACAGACGGTTCCCATTCTTTTCGTTCAATTGATGAATCCGAATTGTTAGAGGCTCTTTTAAAGGTCAAATCTAAGTCTGTCGGGATTGATGGAATTCCTATTAATTTCATTAAGCTAATTTTTCCATTGGTTGGATTGTTTATACTTGATTTGGTTAACTATATTTTAATGTCATCTACCTTCCCCAAACTTTGGAAAACAGCACGTGTAGTACCTATACCCAAGTCAAAAATAATTCATGGGCCTGAGGATCTTCGACCAATTTCTATCCTTCCTTCATTGTCTAAGGTTGTTGAACATGTAATTAAGAAACAGTTGCTTGAATTCACAACTCCTAGGATATTTCATTCTCAATATGCTTTCCGCCAGGGACATAACACATCTTCCTTGCTCCTGCATCTTACTGATTCTATACGCATGAATATTAACTCTAATAAGATTAATGTCATGATTTCTCTAGATATGTCTAAGGCTTTTGACTGTATTTGTTATAAAACAATGGTTGGCAAACTAAACAGTGAATATGGTATTTCTAGGTCTGCTTGCAGACTTATTTATTCTTATTTAACTGGACGATCGCAATTTGTTGCTTTAAATGGTGAAAAATCTAATTTCATAGAGTTGTTTTCTGGAGTTCCACAAGGATCAGTTCTGGGGCCCCTATTATTTGTCTTGTATATTAATTATCTTCCTGGTATATTTAGCCCTCGCTCATGTGCCACATTTCTCTTTGCGGATGATGTATTCTTGTTGTTTTCAGGTACTATTTCTAGTATAGATATTTTAGAGAGTTCTATTAACTCTAGCTTAGAACGTTTTTTGAACTGGACCTCTTTAAATTCTTTAAATGTGAATGCTTCGAAAACTAAGGCAATGTTATTTTGCCCTAACAACCGTTCGTCGGTTGATTTGAACATCTTCCTTGGTAGTGCTCGAATTGAATTTGTTGATAAACATAAATGCCTTGGTATTATATTAGATAATAGGTTAACATTTAAGTCTCATATCGACGTCGTTGCTGGAAAGGTTTGGGGTATTCTGCGCAGAATACGTTCGACTAATATGTTCTTGCCCCTTCGTGTCAAAACTATCTTAGCTCGTTCGCTTCTATTGTCGCAAGTTGTATATGGTTTAGAGGTTGTTTCAGGCACTGTTGGCAATTGCACTCTTAAGCTAAGGCGTGTAGTGAATACTATTGTGCGATTTGTTTACAGTGTTCCTAGTAGGAATCATATATCAAGTTATGTAAAAATTTTTCTTGGCTGCTCGTTCAAAAACTTTGTCAAATGTCGCAATTTAATATTGTTCCACAAAGTTGTGAAGACTGGTAAGCCTACTCTTTTGCGTTCGTTCTTTGTTTTTTCTAGATCCACTAGAAACCCTCAAATTTTTATACCACGCGTTTTTCGATCTATGTACGCTAGGTCGTTTGTTGTGCGTATAGCCCGGATTTGGAACAGCTTACCTTATGACTTGAGGATTTTCTCGCACTCCAATAATGTTTTCCGCCTGAAATTGATGCGTTTTCTTAACTAAGTTAGGTCAAATTACTATCTATTACTGGCACGACCTTCTTAGTTTTTTAGTTTGTATATTATTTTCGTTTACTTTTTATGGTGGGGATCAGTAAGTATTTGGTTCATTATAAATATGTAAATAATAAATGTATAAATTTTGAATTTATTATTAATATTGAATTATTCTTAGGCATATATTGAACTTGTAATATAATATTGGCCGTGAAGGCTTCCTTATTACTGAATGAATAAATAAATAAATAAAAACAGCTGTTTTCCGTTTTCGATTGCTATCTTGGTGACCTTATTTATAGGCCATGATAGTTGTAAATGTTTCGATTACACAAGTAATCGATTCTATAGAAACCAATTTGTCGCACTTTTCTTTATTGTAGATCCCTACTACAAAGCAATCATCGAAAGGGAGAATACTAAACCTTGTGGGCAATCGGACAAAAATCAAAATATTTATTTACTTGTTACTATATATAAAATAGTACTAAATTTTGTATTTTTCCAAGATGTCGAAGATGTTACCACGTCAATGCGGCCGTGGTGGAGTTGCAAATTGTGGCCTTCCGAATAATTCATTGGGCGACAAGGAATTGCGTGACCAACTGCAACAGGAAATTGAAAACAAATCAAAGCTTTGTGCAAATCCCACTTATGAGTGTACAATACCACGCATTGATGGCTACGAGTACTGTATGCGACATATCCTTAGGGATCCCAAAGGAAACTTTCGACAATGTACCTACACGTACAGTAACAATAAAAAATGTACAAATGCCTTGCCGAAACATGACCTAAAGAAGGATCCGAATATGACAACACTTTGTTTTGAACACAATCGACAAGTTCAGTTGCAGAAGACACATGCATCGGTGGGCAAACTGAAACAGGTGGAAACTAACGAAGCATTACTCAATAGCTTGGCCCATCATGTAAATGTCGAGGAGACACCAGAAAAAACTGAGACAAATTGTGAACAGGATGAAGAAATTGACGTAGTATCGCCACATGTTACGCCATTTGGTAAGTGAGGTGATAATACAATTAGTGGTTGTTTAATATAATATTGTGCTTTTTCGTAGTTTGTCAGGATCAAGTTAATACACTTGGTGATATTGCCAATACAATGCGCAAACGTAAGCGAATATTGGACTATGCGTCGGATAGTTCTTCTGATGAAGAAGTCATTTGCATGAGCAACACTTCGCGCGGCTATGAATGCAATGAATCCGATAATGAAAGTGTCGACTCTCAAGATGAGGATCTGCTCAAGCATGCCGGGGTATATACACGCCAAGAAGCCATACGTATTTCTGAAGCAAAACTTACTAAGCTGCAAGGTCTCTACATAGATCAGATTAATCGTTTACATCATACGTTAAGGGAAAAAAGACGTCGCTACTTGCATGCCATGCAGCGGGAGGGTGCACATTTATGCAGTATACATCAACAATTGAAAGAGACGCCAAGAGAAAGACATCTGTACGAACAGTTGAAAGCATTAAACTCCTATCACAGACGGCATGGCGTTGAAGCTGTCCTCTACAAGAAATTCAAGGAGAAACGCAGTCGTGCCGGTGATGCTGCCTCTAAAGCTTCATTTACCAAGTGTGCTTTTACGGAGGGTGGTGTTAAATGTGGTGATCGTGCGATGTTGCATACTCGATATTGTCGTAAACATATTCTGGAGGATAAGAAACAAATATTATTTAAGGCATGTGAAGTTAAAAAATCCGGAGTAGTTTGTCAGGAACCTATACCGTGTATATTTGATGATTCGACATGTGTACTGCATCTGACTATACCCCAACAAAGGCAATATATTCAAAAGGTAAAGAATTTTTATTGCAACTTTTTAAAATGTGTTAATTCAAAGTATGTATGTTATTTTAATTTTTTTTAGAAATACGAATCGGAAACTGAGGATGAAGAGGCTGAAGTGAAAAAAGAAAATTCGACTGCTGATATAAAAATGTCACCTAAACTGGAGTCACCTGGAGAAACAGGTGTCGAAGGGAATACAGAAATTCAAAATGTTGTTGTAAAATAAAATGGTGTTAGGAAATTTCGCAAGAAGATGAAATTATGTTTCAAGTGTGGTACACATCAAGAACACTATATAATATATTTGTCTTACTTTGTATAAGCAAAAAATCATTTTTTTTTATTTTAGAATTAGGCCACATGAGATATAACGAGAAAAAAGATAGAATAGTTATTAGGCCATTACATGTCAATCATTCAAAAACAATACAAAAACCGCATTGTTTCTCGAGTAAAAAGTTTACAAAAATTCACATGAAAATATCCATATTGTTAGTAACGAACACACCTAATGTTAGACATTGTTTACAAACAAAAGAATGTGTTTGTGAAACATATGGGGCCCCCATATGTTTCGTAAATTGAATACTCAAAGCTCAACGCGAGCATGGCCGACAAAAATATCTCGATTTTATTATTAACTGGACCTCCAGGCGTTGGCAAAACCACATTAGTACGCAAAGTATGCCTTGATCTTCTGGAAACACATAAAATAATTTGTGATGGATTTTACACAGAGGAGGTACGAGATTCTAGCCGGCAACGAATTGGATTCGATATTACCACAATAGCGGAAAAGAGAACATCGAAATTAGCAAGGTAAAGACTATTAAAAAAATAAATAATGCTTTTCAACATATTTTTCACCATGTACCTGTAGAGTGGATGCCAATATCAAAGGTCCCTATGTGGGGAAATATGGTGTATTTGTAAAAGAGTTTGAAGATCTTGCACTGCCTCTACTGCGACAAGTAAAAACACTTCAATTACTAGTATTGGATGAAATTGGTAAAATGGAACTTAAAAGTAAACGATTTGAAAGTGCTGTGTACAATTGCCTAGAAGCAGGTGGAACAATCTTAGCCACTGTACCCTTTGAGATGAGACAACCTCTGACTCTGGTTGAAAAGCTTAAAAAGCATCCGCATTCTAAGACAATTGTGGTAACAAAAGATAATCGTAATCATCTTCAAAGTGAAATTATTGAATATTTATTGAATACGATCAAGAAATAAATACAAAGTCATTGCATCGCCTGGGAACAATGACAACTTTTGACATCAACAAAACGGGAAGGTTGTTTTCAAACAGTTTTCCATATTGCAAAATATTAATGAAACACTCTAGGTGAGCATAGCTTATATTTATAAACAAATATATTTATAATGTAAAATATTTAAATCAACATTTCTTTTCTAAATGACTACGTTGTACTCATAGCATGATCTGCTGTACTTAAAGATGTGTATGTTTTCGAATCTCTTTGTGACCTTTTTCGGGCTCTTTTCGGCGATTTCTCATGATCCATTTCATTGTATGTCTGTTCCGTTGCTCGCCATACCATTTCTTGGCGTTGCACCAAATCCGGATAACGTTGTATAAATTGTTCATCGGGTGCCAACAAAAGCTCCCATTTCTTTTCCGAATTTACTTTGGCAACCGACATGAGGACCTCCGAAGCCTCTTCAGGTGGCAGTTGAGTTGCATAAATCACTTGCGGTCTGTACAAATATTTTGTACGGGAAAAACGGAAGAGCTATAAAGAAAGTATGTGTGTGACTTCATACAGATGCTATTCATGTTGTGTGTTGATACTCACCACATAATCACGCGCCCTTATCATAAGTTCCGATTTCACACCATTAGCATTTGATAACATTTCCGTGGGATATAAAATTTCCGACTGAGGCACCCAATTCCCATGTATTAAAATACCCACCTGGGGCAAATTTCTTAAAAGTTTTTCAACGGTTATGTTTGGGTCTACACCCTCTTGCAGGATAGACATGATATCATCGAACGATAACATTTTGGCATCTTTCAAAATAACCTTCAGTTGATCTATTAATGGCATCGATTTTAATTTGGCTTTGCTAATGACACGTGCCGGTAAGACAGCATCAATGCCCTGGTCTTGACCAGCTGCGGGTAAAAGTTTTTCAACATATTTTGGTGTTTCCAACCCCAACGACTGGCTGCTTTGCCGATTAGTTGCAAACAGTTTTTGTCGTTCCAGTTCCGCGGTTGGTGAGGTTCTTGAATGCCAGTAGGTTTCACACCATGGTTCATCTACACTTTTCTTTAGGAAACTATCATAGCCTTGACGTTCCTTTACCTTTTTGGTTCCTGCTCTTGCAAATTTCACAGTCACTTGTTGCAACTCCTCATCATCGTCTTCTTCGTTGAGAGCCTTTTGTTCGGCCTTGTTACGTTTGTCTTCCTTGTCGAAATATGAAAATGATGGCCTTAGTTGTAAAATCGAACTCAACGGCGACAGGTGTATTTCCTTATCGGCATATATTCCAACAATATATTTACTAACATCATCCAATGATGTGGAACTCACAAATGCCTGTTTATCCATAATACCGCGCTTGAATGTGGGTCTCTCGCCTTTGGCCAGTGTCTTACCGTCAGCTGCCAAAGCCATTTGTTCTCCCTTGAAACGATCATAGAATAACGATTCCGTATCCAGAGCAAAATCAACTTTGACTTCTTTGTTAATGGGTTTCACACAACAATTGACAACGGCAGCAGTTTCAAAATTAGAAACTTGTGTTTTTGTTGGATATTGAAAGAGGAACAGGTTGTCTTGTAGATTTTTCGACAAAAATACCGGTATCTTAAAAATAATTAATAGTTTCGTTATTGTTATTATTCAGACGGTAGATAGACAATATATCACCTCTTCAATTATTTCATCATCTTCGGCATCGTAACAAGACATTGTCTTTATTTAAGTGAATTACGAAAATAACAATAATTTAATTCAAAATATTGTGAAGAGATGTTTATTCTACACACAACACAAGTGCACGCCATACAGAAGGAGTTAGGAATCGCTAAGTCGACTTTAGTCTAATCGATTATTTATTATCGACGATTTGACCGCAACTATATATTCCTAATAGGAGAAAATACGAAGGGGCATCACATATCGTAATAAAAAGTATATACCATGATGAATGGCACAATAAACAGGTAGTCCATTTAGCGCAACTGATGTATTGATTAACTGTCAAATTTCTACTTGAATTCGATGTGCAGTGTTGCCAACCATTTGAAGTATTATATGGAAAATTTGACAGATAAAAACAAAGGATTTTGTTTTGTATCAAAACTAAAACCTTTGTTTTGATAAATTACCTGGTTGGCAACATTACACATCAAATTCAAGTAGAAATTTGACAGTTAATCAAGACATCAGTTGCGCTAAATGGACTACCTATTTATTGTGCCATGCATCATGGCACATAATTAAAATCTGACTTCGTAGTAAAAAATATTAGATTATTTTGGTAGGAGAACAGACCAATTATTGGCCTGTTCCCGTACTGCAAGAATCTACTATGTTTTACTACGATAATAAATTTTCCTTTATGATATCGACAAATGTAGTAAAAACTAGTAGATTCTTGTAGTACGGGAACAAACCATTTGTTTATATATATGAAAACAATTTGGAACATAGTCGCCTTTTTTCATTAGTATAAAAAAAGGAAAAATTCAAATATATTTAACTGCCAAGTGAAACGCGCATCAACTACAAGCGTTGAGGCAACGGATGACGCAACACCTTTATACCTTTTATTATATTTTGGCATGGATGTGTAACGGAACACACATAATTGATATCTCCCCGTACTGCAAGAATCTAGTAAATTTTAAATCGACAATAAATTCTGACTTATAATTGGTCTGTTCCCGTACTGCAAGAATCTACTATTTTTTACTACGATAACACTTTTTTCCTTTATGATATCGAAAAAAATAGTAAAAACTCGTATATTCTTGCAGTACGGGAACAGACCAAATAACAGGAAAAACTAGTAGATTCATACAGTACGGGAAAAATAAATATCTGATCCAGAACTTCAGATTTTAATTAGTTGTGTTCCGGAATAATTGATCGAAATATTTTACGGTTTTTGCAGATTCTCGATTGATTCTGTAACTTTTTTGTCTTAACATTTAAACACATATATTTCACAGTAAAATAAAAATAATTTATTTAAACCATTTCCGAATATTTTCGTATATTATCGATATGTCCTGTTCCTGAACTTCCATCTTCTTCTTCTTTTAATACATATTTGGTATGTTCCCTTATTGCAAGAATCGATTTTACTAAGAATCGATATTATAAAGGAAAATTGGTTATCGCAGTAAAAAGTAGATTTTTGCAGTACGAGAACAAAGCGTGGTTTTATATTTGCCGGGATCGGGATCGGTGTTGAGAGTTTCTCTCTCTCTCAGTGGTAAATTGTGAATTGTGTTGGAAAACATTACCACAGGTAGAAACAAAAAAGTACGAAAATGTACCTTAAATTCTACTTCAAATGATAATAAATTATAATTATCGAGAAATATTGGCCAATATTTATACCAGTTATTTGCATAAATAACATATGTTATAATTTAATTTTCGTAAATGTATTCACGAATAATAAAAAATCTAATTTTTGTTTTGGTACGTTTATGTTTTGTACCTTTTGTTAACAAAAAGTACGATTGTTACAAAATTAAAAATAGCGCATATATAAAAATTACTCTCTCTCAGAGAGACTTTCAATTTTACCGAAAAAGTTTGAAAATATAAAACCACGCAAACCAATTACTTTCGATTTCTCCTTTAAAAATGTCAAAACCTTTGCCAATTTTTTCAATACGGGGACAAAACCAAATTAAAATTCTAATTAGTTATCGACGGCGATTCGGTCGTTACCGATACATGCCGTTCTTATTGAAATACTCTATACATAATTATTATTTTATTTCCTTTTATACATATAAAAAGGTTTACCAATTTCTTTGGTACGGGAACAGACCAATCATGAAACATGCCGGAAAAGTCGATAAATTGTCGTGTAGTGAATCGACTTTCATATCCCTATTTCTCCTTTCACACGTCAACAAAATCAAAAAAATTTCATTCTTTCTTAGGTTTGACAAGTGAATTTTTTTCTACGAATTTTTTGTGCGAAGAGTGATTACTGTCCCACAAAATTACCAAAATTGCAAATATATCCCCTCAAAGGGATCATGACACATTATTAATCTCTGATAAGTGAATTTTTGTTTGCTCTTGTTCGATATTTTGTTTGCACCGTGTGTGAAAAATACCTGATTTTGGTGTTTTTTCGTCTTGAATAAAACTTTTAATGACTTCGTCTAAAACACAGACAACTGTTGTTGCAACTTCGTCAAGAGGAGGAGATTGTGAGACAGTGTCTAGAAGTTATCAGGCCCAAGTTTTGGGCATTACAATATTTGCTGTTGTCGGTATTGTTGTTTTCATCAAATACGTGTGCACGAAATATTTTGCACAATTGGAATTAGAGCATCCACAGGCAGCAGCCCATCAATACACGGAGTTTTAATAAATTGCAAAAAAAAAAGAATCCAGAAACTCCCTCCACCTCGCTACTGACGTAATAAAACAACAACAACACAAAACAACAGGAAATGGCTAGTCCAAGGACAAGACGTGTTTTACAAGAGCTTAAACCTCAAGATGATAATTCGGTAAGTTAATTAAAAAAATAAGAATTTCTCAAGTCAAGGTCATGTGCCAGCCATGCATATTTCTCAGTTGGTTGTATGTGTGTGTGGATAGTGTAGGTCTAGCATAAAAAATGGTCCATAAAGTGTTTCTTAATAACTATTGCCTCATGAAACACAATTCTATGATTGAGAAATTGCACTTGCAACATCAAAATGGTACAATAATTCCGATTAAAAAACTAAGGCGGTCAATCGTTTTTTATTTTTTATTTTATTTTCGTACATATAAAAAAGAAATAATGAAAACAGGAAACCCCATCCGTCTTGTATAGAAGTTTTAAAACAATTGATACTGCTTATGATTTGGGGTGGGGGTCAAGGTCCTCCCTCTCTTACGAATCAATTCGGTGACCCACATTTATTGTTGTGTTAGAAGATTGTAAATTATAATAACAAATCACTGAGAGATCTGAATATTAAATTACAGTAACATTTTTCTTTTTAATTTCTTCCAGAAATGCTTTGAATGCGGTACCCATAATCCTCAATGGGTTTCCGTTACCTATGGCATTTGGATATGTCTCGAGTGTTCCGGCAAACATCGTGGCCTTGGTGTGCATTTATCTTTTGTACGTTCCGTAACTATGGACAAATGGAAAGACATCGAATTGGAAAAAATGAAAGTTGGTGGCAATCGTAATGCTCGCGAATTTCTAGAAGATCAAGATGATTGGAATGACCGTGCCCCAATAAGTCAAAAATATAATTCAAAAGCTGCTGCATTATATCGCGATAAAATTTCTACGCTGGCCCAAGGCAAGCCGTGGGACATTAATGAGGCGAAGAAACGTTTATCAGCGGCAGGTGGTGGCGGTTCATCATCCTATGCAGCATCATCCAGTTCAAGCAGTAACAATTCACATTCCAGAAATAGTGGCAATTATCAACAGGGTTCCAGTGCCGGCTATCAAAATGGTGGCAGTGGTAGTTATAATGCTGAAAGTTATCAACAATTCAATAGCCAAGAATTTAGGGATCAAAAAGAAGAATTCTTTTCACGTAAACAAATGGAAAATGCAACAAGACCTGAGTGAGTTCTGCAAATTCGAAGCGTCGTTTTCGAATTCTATTTAATAAGAATGGTATGTGAATTCTTTTAGCAATCTACCACCCAGCCAGGGAGGCAAATATAGCGGATTTGGCTATTCTCGTGAACCACCACCGAAGACTCAATCTCAAGAGCTTATCGATACAACATTGTCATCGTTGGCTTCGGTAAGTTGAATATAAATAGTCATTAATAATAATAATAATAATGTTTCACATTAATCAATAAATTTTACAACATTATTAGGGTTGGAGTTTGTTATCAGCCGGGGCATCCAAATTTGCCAATATTGCAAAGGAGAAGGCAGCTGTAACTGCCAGTATAGCATCATCAAAGGTTTGTGTAATAAATTTTAACCAATATATGTATAGTCGATTATAGTATAATCACTCAAGGTTACTGTATCAGTTTATTATAAAGTAGAAAATTATGATTATAGTAATATGTCATTAGCATCTTTTGAAAGGCCTCAATGTTTTTTTTTAATTTTAAGTAATTTCCATATATTATACTTACTATTTTGTAAAAAAAAATGCCATAGTAAATTACTACCTGGAGAAAATGAAGACAGATACTTATGTTGGGAAAATTTGTCTTTGGACCTCAAACAAAGCGAGATCGACGTGTTACATTTGCATGGGTGCCTTGTAGAAATGTGGTCTTAATTTGAAAGTGTTCTGTGAAGTGTCCCGATATTGATAATTTTTGATTGAAGAAAAAATAGTTTTTTTTTATCAATAGCCTTTTGTTCCTATCCTTTTTTATTTACTTTGAAATGTATTTTTTTATTTATTTTTAGTATTTTATTATTATTTTTTCTTTTAATTTTTTATAGTAATATTCCATTATTTTGTTTTTTATTTTTATTTTGTATTGTAGCTTAAAGATGGTGGTATATTAGAATCTGTTACTGATGTAGCTACCAAGGTGGGTATTTCATTTTATATATATTTTTGTCCATATACATTATATAAATATAAATTTAAATTATATATTTAAATACAAAAAATGTTTTGCCTTTATTCTAGGTTACTGACATTGGTAAACGTGGTTGGAATAACTTATCTGGCAGCAACTTTGCTTCACCAACCAGTGAGCATGGCGGGTATGGTGATTTCAACAATGATAATGCCTATCAACGTTCAAATTCTGTTGGTGGCAATCTTTCGTCCGGCATGGGTCATCAATCAAACGCCAACGATGATTGGGGCTGGCAAGACAGTCCTCAAAAGCCATTGCCATCTTCTAAATCGTACAACAATCAATTCAGCAGTAGTTCAGGCGGTGCTGGCACCCAAAACTTTTCATCGTCCAATCGTAATAATGATGATGATGACTGGTCCGGTTTTGATAGCTATCAAGATTCATCAACATCGTATCAAAATTCCACAACAGCGACGAGTAGAAATATGAAATTAGCATCGACGTCGTCAACCGTAACCACGCAAAAATTAAGTGAAGGTTTCGATAGTTTGGATGTTAAAAGTGCAAAACCCAAAACAACATCATCGTCCAATAATAATAAATCGGCTGAGGATGATGCCTGGAATTTATTAATGAATTAAAGTCTCTACGCGTATATATAATGTTTCTTTTTTAAAGAGTTCATTCTGTACTCACATTTGATTTGTATTTTATTCGTATGCCAATAAGTTCTCTTTTTTGTTTTATTTTGTTTGTCCTTAGTTATATTGACTTTTAATTATTTTTTGATATTAATTACTTTCTCATTGTTTTGAAAACGTTGTAATCATCATTACTAGTAAATTGTCTTTTTTCCTAGAATCAACACAAACACAATTAAAATATATAATTATATGAATGTAACGAACCTAAATACAAACCCATGAAATATACTTGAATATGAAAAACGAAAATGTATTGTTTTTATTTCATTAAAAAAGGAAAAGTGATCAAGATCTATTGGAAATCAGTATAGCATCTTAAACTCACATAAAATTACCGTTACTACAGGTGCGGAAACGATGAAGTGGAATAGACAGTTAAGGACTTCTCGATATTGGTCACCGGTTATTACAAAATTAAAAAAAAAAAAACAGAATCAAGTCTAGTAGACATTACCAATTCAAAAACATAGCAATCCCTTGGCATCTGTAAATCACGATAGGCAAAGAAGTATCTCTTGTAGCCTTTCATTGTAAATTTTCCTGGCTTCAAGAATCTCAAATAGTCGGAGAGTTCTGCGATTTGGGTAATATTGCAATCGTGACTAGAATTTGGACCATCAAAGGGTAATTTACAACTCGTTCAGAGCCGAGTCGATATCGTCGTCTGTTTCATTCTCATTGTACGTCGAATCCAGAGTCTTGATAAGACTGGAATTCGTTTAATTGGTTTATTTGAAATTACGAAGCGGCAAATATCAAACTTTCCTCCTGACATGAGGCTCAGTATTGGTCACCGCTTAGTACAAAAAATTAAAAAAGAAGAATCAAGTCTGGTAGACATTAAAAATTCAAAAACGTAGCAACTCCTTGGTTCGTTTAAATGAAATTTCAACAACACTTATTTTATGTTAGTTTTAAATTTTATTATTTCTTTTCCGTAATACATAAGTTAATTTTATTATACAAAATTACAACAATTCTCATCTAAATTAGAAAGAAATAAAAAAATAATATAAATGTATTATATTTTTGCGGTTTAATGCGTGTATGGAAGTATTAAAAAAAGGAACATTAAAAATAATAATACAGATTAATGAAAAAAGCACACACAAAATTTTAATAAAAGCAAAAGATAAAAAATAAAATAAACACACATTTTTAGATACAAACCGAAGATAGCTAGAAAGACGACATAGGCACACTTTGGCAATTTGGCAAATACACAGAGTCAAAATGAATATAAATTAAATAAAAGTATAAATTAGAATTGTTATTTATGTGTTTTTGTTTTGTTAAATTGTTTTTTTTTTATTCTTTAAGAATTCGTTAAGGTTTTTTGTTTTGTTTTTTACTTTCGTTTGCTTTGTTAACTGGAAATATGAAAAATTAACTTTTAGTACTATTATTTTGAGAAAGAGATTAAATGTGCGTTATTTTAATTTTGTGCTAAAAGTTACAAAATTTACGCTCGAAAATAAATACTGCAATTTTTGTTTTTTTTTTCTCGCATTAGTTTTTTATATCCAACCACCGGTTAACTTATGGAACATTTCCTCATTCAGAGTTTGATTATTTTCCTTAGAACGCATTGTCATAAAAATGTAACCTCCGATAAATTCGTGAACAACTTTACAATCGGCCGACAGACAAGAGAACACAACGTTCTCGTCGTGGAACTGAATCATCATACACTTGATACCCCAATTGACATTCCATGCCTTCATTGTATTGTAACGCCAGGTTTTAATATGATCGCCAGTGTTGAGATCCATGCGCATAATGCGATTATGTGCAACACCGAGGAGCTCCTCCTTCTTATGGCCATCGAACTTAATAACGAACAATGATACACCGAAATTGGGCAGCGACTGCCAGGCCTGTATGTACTTCATTTTGGCTTCGATGAGTGTTAGTTTGGTTACATTGGCATGAGCTTCCAAGATTTTAATAGCGGCTTTACCCGACAGCTTTCGCAGCATTTTAGGTGACAGATAATCTTGACTATCTATTGTTCTGGGGTCAACACTTACTGCTGCCTTCTGATTTGGCTTTTGCAAATTCAACAGTGTTCTTATATTGGCCACCTCAGCATCGTATGTACTATCGGCCAGGGAACGGCCCTTGGCTGCCAAACGACATGCAGCCATCCATTTGGCATATTGATCTTCCGTCTCGCATCTAATCCACACTTCCGTATTTGGTCCATTTCCACTTTCCGGTGGAACTTCAAGGCGTATAGCAAACTTCTGTTGGGATAAATTGACATCGGGAGTTACTTCACAGCCCCTTAAATTAATTGTTATAACCGGTGCTCCACGTCGTGAGTCTTCGGCAGTTTTGTACAAGTGCAAATGTAAATCACGATAGGCAAAGAAGTACCTCTTGTAGCCTTTCATTGTAAATTTTCGTGGCTTCAAGAATCTCAAGTAGTCGGAGAGTTCTGGGATTTGGGTAATATTGCAATCATGGCTAGAATTTGGACCCTCAAGGGTAATTTGCAACTCATTCAGAGCCGAGTCGATATCGTCGTCTGTTCCATTCTCATTGTACGTCGAATCTAAGCCAGAGTCTTGATAAGACTGGAATTCGTTTAATTGGTTTATTTGAAATTGCAAAGCGGCAAACATCAAACTTTCTTCCTCCGAACAATCCAACTCTTCGTTCAGTATTGACCATTTTGCTTGTTCGTACAATTGATTAATACGCACCAAATCGTATTTTGGATTTAAATCGAAGAACGTGTAGTATTTGAAACGCAGACACAAGGTGTCATATTCCCTGATGCCCTGCTCCATGATCGACAGAGACGAATCCAACCAACCGACGTTCATACGAGCTTTTTCAACCAATGTTTTCGGTCGAACAAGTCGAGATCTAACATCTGGACTAGGACAACGGGGAGATGCTGCCAGGTTTTCTTGGTAATCTCCCAGACTCGATGAAGAATCGTAATTGCTGCTTGCATTTCTCCATGTGCCTGTAGGCGATGACATTACAGGAGTTCCCGGTGCGGTTCCACCTTTCCTAGGTGTTGTATTGTATGGTGACACCGGAGCACATAGTAAATTACCATTCTGTGTTCTATCCAAACTACCGCTACTGCCTCCTTTGTAGGCCGAATTAATTGGAATGAAGGAATTTGTATCCGGAGCTGGTTGCAAATAGCAAGGTCCATTTGCTTCTGGAATTGCTACTTTTTTCTGCGGATACTTGCCATAATTCTTTTTGAGATGTTCCTGTTCCAGTGGTTTGCAGAACGACAACTCCTCGGGGTGACGTATATCCAAATCCTTGCACAGATTCACAACGGCTGTGAACGTTTTGATGGAGAAGTCTACACGACAATCAAGGTAACGCAAATCCGGAAGTTGAACACGTAGTACTTTATGCATTGGCGTAAAATGTAACAGTGTATCCGCTTGAACACCCACCTGATCTAATGTAGACCTTGTACGTGTGAGCCACATATTTTTCTCCGGCCACCAAAGAGCATGATCAGACCAATCCTTTGGATTTTCAGGATCAACCAATTGCAACATAATACCACCAATATGTTGATCGCCCCTGACCCTTAACTGCTTTTCCACCTGGAGGTCAGTTATAAATATTCTGAGAATCCAAGAGTTTTCTCCTACGTGAATCATCTTCGTTGTTTATTTGTTTACACCCAATTTGAAAGTAATAGTTGACACTGCGACACTCCCGAATAGAAAACCATGAATACGGTGATGATGAGTTTTTTTACGGATGCTGTGATATATTTTTCAGATGAATTTTCCTTGTTGTCTTTGTTTTTTTTTCTTTCCTTTTTTGTCTCCGAGAGTTTTATTATCGATTCTGAAATCATCAACTTTGAAGTTTGATGATGACGTAAGCAGAGTCCAAAGTCGATACAAATGGAGAGGTCAACGCCGACAACATAATTTGTATGACTATACAAAACAGCTGTCACATGTATTTTTTCGATATGTCACAGCAAAATATTGCAATATTCGTGTTTGAATAATAAATCTGCTCAAAGAGCAACTCTGAATATCCCGCCCGTTACTGTCAGTTATAAAATAGATAAACTCGTGAAGTTATTGTTATTTGACATTTTTTAAACAGGTAAAACGTCATGACTTCTCTCAAAATGGAAAGCATGAATTAAAAGTTTATAGATATGGGTTCATACTATAGTCAGGAGAATGAGAATTATTTTTTCTATTTCGATCCATATGTGATTCAAGCAAATATATTACAATTTTGGTGTAAAATAAGAAAGAAAAAGTTTGAAAAAATAAACTCTGATAGCATGAATTAAGTTGTATGAACTGGTCAAATCGTGTACGTGAATGTGAGAGCGAATAAATTTTACTAAATACTAAATTTTACTATTTTCTCCGATATTGTAAAGGAAAATTCGTTATCGCAGTAAAAATTAGTAGATTCTTACAATACGGGAACAGACCAAATGTCTAATTGCCATGGTACAATTAGACTACGTTTAGACTACTAAATCCACTCGATCCTCATACGTCAATTCCATTGCGTATACGTCACGTAAATCCAGTGGATTATATTTGATGTATACGCAATGGAATTGACATTTGAGTACGTGGAAACTGCAATACTCAGCTGATTTGATACCATCGTAATACTCGTGCCAATTTGAATATGACAAATTTTGTTTTTTTAAAGTGACCCAGCAGGAAAATTGGGTACATATTTATTTCGAAATTATTCTTTAACAAATGTAATTTCGTATTTAATTTTCTATATGGGTAATGCACAATAAACATGTAGTCAATTTAGCGCAGCTGATGACTTGATTAACTGTCAAAAAACAAATGTTTTTGTCTCGACCATCATGATATGGGTGTTGTTGAATTGTATTTGTTGTAGTTTTGCAGTCACCTTGTATAATTTTACCATTCTACATTGCATTACACGTTGCCATTAAAAAAGGAAGGAGACTTTAATAACACACTTTCGATAAATCGATCGATTAGTTAAATGTCGATTTATGTTTCCCTTCTTCAATGATGAGATCCTCTGTGTCTGTCATGTTACTCTCAATAATCTCTCACAGTGGATGTTAATATTGCAACAAATGAATATTTACAATTATGTTTTTTTGTTTATTCAATGTGAATTATTCTAAATGCAGATTAAATTGATGTAAAACTAAAATAAAGAAACACATTTCCCCAATTTCGCCAAAGTAAGATTTCAAAAATTTATTTTTTCTTACTGCTCTCTGCAGCCTCTGCTACTTTTGGAATCAAATATGTGCAGGTTTCTCTTTGTCTATAAATAGCCCGCCTTCAGTATTATGACAGCAGACAGAGCGTGAGGGAGAAATATAAACATACATTTTCCTTAACTGCGTCATCCATCGTGTAATTTAAATTAATTGAATACACCACCGAACAAGCAACGAACACAGCAGAACGACAGAAAGCAAGATCAATCGAACGAACAACACAGACAGACGGCAGAACAATCAACAAAACAAACCCACCCAGTGTCCGAAATACAAATACAGTAAGAACGAACAACAACAACAAAGTACATCAATCAAGAACAATTTTATGGTGGTGGTGTTATTGCTGCTGCTGGTGGTGGTGGAACAAATAGTGAGATGATATTGGCAAGCAAACAGCGAGTGTAAATTAAAGGGCGATACGATTCAGACAGAGTGCGCGTTGAATTATGAATTAATTGTTGATGTGCTTCTATGATCTGGATTTTTATGTACTTTCATTTTTGCTATCCAATCCGGTATTCATAGCTAGATAGATAGCTAGCTGCCAGTGGTATGGCATTTGCCATTTGCTTGTTTTGTGTGTGTAGTAAAACTGATCGGTCGCTGTAGAAATTTGCGGATTTCATTCGAACGAACGCAGCAGCAGCATAGAGACGTCGATAAAACACAAATAACGTGTGCCTTGTCAATTTTCCATGGAGAGCAGGCAGATAACCTTGGAACAGTACAAGAGGCCATAGCCCCAATAAGTGATCTTGACTGTACTTTGTGCTTCCCTCCGGTCCCCATTGGAATTGAATTTAATTAAAGTGCTGGAGGAGCAGTTGGAGTGGGAGTATACATTGCATCGTATCTGGCTGGCTGACAGACTGGCCGTGTAATCATATAAACTACCCAATTTGTTGTAGGTTGAGTGGTGGTGTAAACAATACACATACACAACGTACCTACACTACATGCTTGTTCTATCCGTCTGGAGATGATAAGTTTTGCTCAAATTGCGAAAACATTCTAAGTGAAGTAATCCATTCCATTCCAATCCACCAGCTGCGCAATCATACTAGTTTAGTAAGATATACTCGTATACATTGAAATTACGTCATCATTCTTCTTATTTTTCTTTGCTTGTTGCTCAGATATTTGGTGATCGCCACAGCTAATGTGTTTTTGTTTATTTTAGGCACTGAACGAACGAAAGAAATTCTCAGCCAGAAACAGATAAACAACATCATGATTCACGTCGGTGAAAATACATGGAATCTGAGGATTTTCATTACGGACCTACAGGTGGAAAAGCACCTGAGGGTTAAGGGCGATCAGCATATAGGCGGTATTATGCTGCAACTGGTCGATCCGGAAAATCCCAAAGATTGGTCAGATCATGCCCTTTGGTGGCCTGAAAAGAACATTTGGTTGACACGAACACGTTCCACGTTGGATCAAGTGGGCGTACAAGCAGATACTCTGTTGCATTTCACACCAATGCACAAAGTGTTGCGGGTACAGCTGCCAGATCTGCGATACCTTGATTGTCGTGTAGACTTTTCGACAAAGACATTTGCTGCTGTTGTCAATTTGTGCAAAGATTTGGACATACGTCATCCAGAAGAGTTGTCATTCTGCAAGCCACTAGAAGCGGAGCATTTAAAGAAAAACTTTGGAAAATTCCCACCGAAAAAAGTGCCCATTGTTGAACCAAATGGTACGGTATATTTACAGCCAGCACCAGATACCAATTCGTTTATACCGTTGAATTCGGCATATCGTGGAAGCAATGGTAGTTTGGACCGTACACAGAATGGCAATTTTCTATGTGCTCCTGTGTCACCTTACGGCACAACACCACGCCGAACAGCAGGCACAGCCCCAGGCACCCCCATAAGTTCGCCAACTGGCACCTGGAAGGCAAGCAGTAATGGCTATGCCACATATGATTCTGGTTCCAGTCTTGGTGATTTCCAAGAGAATTTAGCCGCATCACCACGTTGCCCCAGTCCAGATGTAAGATCCCGGTTGGTACGTCCAAAAACTCTAATTGAAAAGGCGCGCATGAATGTGGGCTGGTTAGACTCATCACTGTCCATTATGGAGCAGGGCATTCGGGAATATGACACCCTATGCCTTCGCTTTAAATACTACACTTTCTTCGACTTGAATCCAAAATATGATCAGGTTCGTATAAATCAATTATATGAACAGGCGAAGTGGTCCATATTGAACGAGGAACTTGACTGTACCGATGAAGAAAGTCTAATGTTTGCCGCTTTACAATTTCAAATAAATCAACAGAACGAAACGTATCAAGGTATGGATTCGTCGCGGCTTGATTCTTCGCGTGCAGACAATGGTGGAGGTGGTGGAACAGATGATGATATTGATTCGGCACTGAATGAATTGCAAATCTCTCTGGAGGGAGGACAAACAAATACCGATGCAAATATTACAAAGATACCTGAGCTGTCGGACTATTTACGCTTCTTGAAGCCAAGGAAATTTACCCTAAAAGGATACAAGCGGTATTACTTTACCTACCGCGATCTGCACTTACACCTCTATAAGAGTGCAGAAGAGTCAAGGCGCGCAGCTCCAGCAATTACCATCAATCTGAAAGGGTGTGAGGTTACACCAGATATTGTTCTGTCGCAGGGCAAATTCTCAATACGTTTAGAAGTACCGCCAGAGGGCGGTAATGGTCCCAACAATGAAGTTTGGATACGTTGTGAAAATGAGGAACAATATGCCAAATGGATGGCTGCCTGCCGTTTGGCCTCCAAGGGACGTTCTTTGGCCGACAGTTCATACGAAAGCGAAGTTTCGAATATAAAAACGTTATTGAATTTACAAAAACCAGCCCATGGTGTGGCGGTCAACATTGACCCCCGTTCAATTGATGCCAACGAATATTTATCACCTCGAATTCTAAGAAAGTTTTCAAGTAAAGCCGCCCAACGTATCTTGGAAGCACACGCAAACGTGAGTCAGCTGTCATTAATCGATGCGAAACTGAAATATATACAGGCCTGGCAGTCGTTGCCCAACTTTGGAGTATCATTTTTCGTTATCAAATTCGACGGCCATAAAAAGGAAGAGTTATTGGGTGTTGCCTACAATCGCATTATGCGCATGGACTTGAATACAGGCGATCACATAAAGACCTGGCGTTACAATCACATGAAAGCATGGAATGTTAACTGGGGCATCAAGTGTATGATGATTCAGTTCCACGACGAGAACGTTGTATTCTCGGTACAATCGGCTGATTGCAAAGTAGTTCATGAATTTATTGGCGGTTATATATTTATGTCGATGCGTTCGAAAGAGAACAATCAGACACTAAATGAAGAAATGTTCCACAAGCTAACCGGTGGATGGGTTTAAAGGCGGGCGCAATACTGAACTGCAAGGATGAAAGAAGAGTCGTCTAGTTTAAAAAAAGGTCTGATGGCCGCGTAAGGAAAATAAAAATAAAGTAGTAAATTTTAAACGTGCAAAGCACAATCGATATGCATGATGATACTAATCAAGATGTGTGGTTTCAAATTTCTTAACTTTTTTACTATTTTTTGTGTATGTATCTCTTAACCAAAAGTTTGTACACCATTTATACTTTGTGTATGTACTAATTATGTATGTATATGCAATAACTACAATTACTACTACTTCAACTACTACCATCGATCAGCAACAATTTTATAGATTCGTAATATTCTAATCAATGGAAACCCAAGATTTTTTTATTTTATTTTAATTTAAATAAAATATTTTTTCATATAAAATATATGTATGTATGTTATGTAAAAAAAAACAAACAACAAAAATAAACCAATTAATGTTTTACTATCGATTTTTTCGTATAAGTTCTGATTTAAAAAAAAGAAACTAACTAAAAGCATACAAGTGTGTGTGTTTTTTTGGAAATATTTTATTACTATTCTAATAAATTATTGTAAAACCCCAAAAAAAATACGTATTTTATTTATAAGGGATATTTCAGAAAGTTGTAAGTTTTATTCAAAATTGTAAAATGAATATGGAAACCCACCCCTTTCATTAAACATAACAATTTAGATAATAATTGTTGTAGATAAGAATGTATATAAATTTCATATCAAATTGGGCTGTAGAATAATGGATTTAATCTGTCGATTCTAAATGATTGATTTGTAAGGAATCATACAATTATTTCGTATTAGTGAGTTTTTCGTACGACCGACAACTTTTGAAATAATTTCTAAAACGTTGCCTGGTCTGTTCAACGTTCTTGAGTATTAAACACTTTTCCTAATCGAATTGCCAGTCATTTTATAGTTTAGGTTCTAATCAAATCAATATTCATCTGTCTTTAGGGCGCTGTAATTTGTTGTCTTTTAATAATTTCAAACACGTCTTCCGACAGAATTCCCTGTGATTGGAAATTTTTGGAGTATCAGACAAAAACTCCTTAGAAAGATGTATCCACCATATATTTGATAATTCATTCCAGGCACATCTGCCGTTATTTGGCATTTTAACCCCTTGACGTACTTCCACGAGTCTGACTCGTGGTACAATTTTTGTGCCAAACATGATTAACACGAGTCAGACTCGTGGTCAGTTTTTTATTTAGAAAAATTAAATTGGGCATTTCAATTTTTTAATTTTTATTATTTTTTCGATTCTAATAATAATAAAATATAACAACATAAAAAATAAATAGTTTGATAACACGCATTCATATTTCTTTGGTTTTGTAAACATCGAAACTGGTTTGTTTTGTGCAAATTGTGTGTGAACAGTTGGACACGAATTCCTTTGCGCTAACTGATACGTCAAGGGGTTAAGTTCAGATTGGGTAACAAATTTCCATGTTCTTCCATTATTTTTCTATGATATTAGCTATACAAATTTGACCAGTCAGAACTTATCATCCCCAACGAACGAAATTGACATAGGCTTGACATAATAATTTAAGGTGTAAATTGTTACATTTCTTCGTATAATTGCAACGATTCTGACTCGACCTTCGACAACAACAAACATTAACATGCTAATAGATGGGGTCTACGATCCAAAACGACCCGAGTATTTCTCGGCCAACGTCTGTCACATCAGCACATTGTGTTTCGAGTGGGCTGCTACAACAACAACATCCTAATAGATTGATCATGAAGAGTCATGATTTCACTGGTTTAAAGATATTTTAAAATTTCCTGATAAAAATCCACTCGAAAACATAATAATAATATAATGGTATATGTGATAATTTGATACTTACTCAGACATAAAGTGCTTTCGTAGCTAGCATCATTTCCCTTCCCCACTTATCATGTTACGTTATGACAGAACAAAATATTAATTAGATTCACAATCATTGCTCTGTTTCCCAATATTGCATATATATTTTGATATTTTTGAACGCTTTTAAAATATTTATTTCTTTCTTACACTTTTCTCCAATTGTGAAATTCAAATTTCATTCAGGACAACTGAGGCAAACTGATCGCAAATGACATCAAACGGCGAAAGTTCGCGTAATTATTGTGTTCGTTGTTAGTTTGATTCAATTCAACGGCGTCAGAACGGCACTACTGTCACCACTGCCTCTTCTTTGCATTTGTAAATAAACATAAAATCATACAAATAATCAATTAATTAATATAAAATTAAGTAGGCAATTTCAAATCTAATGTTGAACGGAAACCTTGGAGAAAAAAATCTTTATGAAAATGACGCCGAAAGTTCGCGTAATTATTGTGTTCATTGTTATTTGGATTAAATTCAACGGCGTCAGATATTTCTCGCACGGCTTCACACAGCACTACTGTCACTGTCTCTTCTTTGCATTTGTAAATAAACATAAAATCATAAAATTATTTAAATTAAAAATAAATAATCAAATTCAAATCTAATGTCGAAACGGAAACCTTGGAGGAAAAATCTTTATGAAAACGACGAATATGAAGACAATTACACAGATCCATCATTTCTTAAGGATTTGCGGACAAATATCAATGTACGATTCTATACACTGAGCGATGCGATAAAGGGTGTTACAGTGCTGAATAACCAAATATCGTGCATTGCCGGATTCCTTATAATATTCTATGTGTTGTATAGTGAAAAAGTCTCACCCACCGCAATATTGGGACCATCGTTCCTATTAACAGTTGTCGGTTATCTATGTTTTCGTTGGAAAATTTTAACCTTGACAATGGTCCTGGAAGACTCAAAGACCTTGATGACGGTTTTGCTATTTGGATTCTTACTGGCACCAGTGCTACATACCCTGACCAATGCTATATCAACGGATACGATATTTTCCATGACATTTGTTGTATTCCTATTCAATGTGCTGTTTTGTGATTATGGCCTCGACGTGGCCATGGTCTCAAAAGCGATATCAGTAAATGCTGCCATATTCGGTTCAATTTGTTTGGCTTCACGTTTGTCGACATCATATCATGCATTTGTTCTACTAGTCGAGGCGGCGATATTTTTCGTACTGTATCCAATAGTTACCCGTGAATATTGGAGGTGTTATTTCCTGCTACCCATATTCGTGGCATGTTCCTATTGTTTGTGGACGATATCGTTGAGTGTTTTGTGGATTTATGTTTTCGTAACGGTATTCGTTAATTTAATATGTCCCTGTATATTTGTTATACAACAACGGCATAAGCATAACATACACGGACCATGGGATGAGGCTATTGTTGAAGAAACAACCGATGCTAATATTGATATTAAATTATAGCAGTATTTGTTGCTGCATGAACATCAGTTTGCCGATGATGATGGTTCCAAAAAAAGACTGTAAATTATGTATTGATATTTTTTGTTTTTGTAAACCAAACAAAATGTATAAAACCAAAAATAGTATTTTAATTGAATGTACCATGTATATATATATCTGATTGTCTATTTGTAAAATTAGTACAAAATATTTAGAAAAGGAAAAAATAAAGATTAAGAACTTTTGTTATATTTTATATATATTGAGAGTATTTTTTCCTGTCATGAGACTACTACAATGGCCTTTGGGTTGTTTCTACAAAGCCAAATTAATCATTTCATCCATTAAGGGTAAACATCCCATTTCAATCAAAAACATCTCTTGATCACCGCTTGAATAAGAAATTCATTAGAAAAAATCGTAGTATACAAACACAAATTATGCATTGGTTGTACAACACAGTGACACTCTCCATGCTGGCCTATAAGTATATTGCATTGTGTCGGAAATTTCGTCCTAAAGCCCGTTTTTATAAACTAGGAGCAAGGAAGGAGTTCCAGTACTTCTTATACATTTTGTTAACAAAAAGATTCCTCTGGCTCCTGTGAACCCTATAAGCTTCAATCATAGATTAGTTAAGGCTAAGTGAGACAAAAATGTCCACTTAATTTGCGTGCGATCAAATTTTAACAGTTTTTTACGACCACCTCCTCTATTCCGTTTGAACTTTTTTCTTGGACATACTATTTAATAAATTGCAAAAAATAATAAAACTCGACACAAGTATTTTTTAATTTGTTTTTTTATTATTTTTTGTTTTTTTTTCTCCTTCTACAAAAAGCGTCTTTTTATGTTTATTTTTGTTATCAACAAAAACTGTAAACGAAATATCTGTATGTATTTGTGTATATATAATATATTTAACTAAACTTAAACAAAACTGGAATACTTTAATATAGGAAAACAAATGTGAGAAATAAATGGAAAACTAAAACGAAACTGAACAAAAAAATATTTAATTAAAAAAAACTTATAGAAATATTAAATACATGTTTATTTATATATAAATAAGTTGAAGTAATTTTTGCTTGTTTGTTTTTTTTTTCTTCTTTTTGTTTGCCTTACAACGAGTACTTATGTTGAACTCTAATTAAAATATATATGTATATAATTTAGTAGACAACACAGCTCGCTCACTTTTTTTGTTTTTCTTCGAAAAGTAATGTACTATGTGTGTGTTTGCGTATTTGTTTTTGTTTTGTTTTTATTTTATTTTATACAAACACTTTTACCCTAAAGTCCATTAATTTGTTGTATGTAAGTAATTTTAACGAATATTTTATTCGTTTTCTTTTTATTTGTTGTTGTTGTAAAATTAAACTAGAAAAAAGATAAACAAAAACTTAATTATACTAATTCTATTATATACTTTGTTCTTGTACAAAAGAAAACTAATTTTGGTTATGTTTTTTTAAAGTTAATAAATTTCATTTGTTGTTGTTTTAACTATAAATAACTAGAGTCAACAAATTACGGGGTTTCGTTTATTTTCTTTTTGTTTTATTTTCATTTTTAATTTATACTACTCAAAACTTTACAATTTTGTTTGTTATTATTGTTGTTCTCTTTTTTTTGTAATAAAAAATTGTTACTTAATAAATGTTATTGGTCAATTCAATATTTCTTTTGTTTTGTTGTTGTTGTGTTTTTAGTAAATACATTTCTATGTGGAGTGGAAGTTGATGACAAGACTGACTATATGATGATAGATGTGTGTATTGATATATGTGTGGTTGTTTGTCGCCATTTTATGGTTTTACAAAGCCACTTCATCTCCATGTTTTAGAGAGGCCTTATTAAGCTCGACTTGTTCATGATTTTGTTGTTCTGCCCTAAGTTTTAAATCACGACGCCTTTGAGCTGTTACGGTGGTTGTTGCAGCAGCAATTTGCTGTCCGTGCGGTGATGATGTTGACGGTGACAAAGACGCTGATGTGGGCGGTGATGAGGACAATGTTGCTGCAACTGATGCTATTGGTAGCGATGTTGTTGCTGCCGCAGCAGCAGGTTTTAGTCTATTTTCATAAATATCACGAGTTGTTGTTGGCGACAACAACGCTTTGTTAGGCAGCGTAAAATAGTCATCTTTGTTATTTTGTTTCAAATGATCCTCGTCATCATCATTATTAGCGGCGTCCAGCTGCTTCGAATTTTCTTTTGCTTTATTTGTAACCACCACTGAACCGGATGATGAAGGCGATGAAGAGGAGTTATGTAGATTATGATGATGGTGTTGTTGGTGATGTTTATGATTATGATTTTTATGCTGGTGATTGTGATGATTATGTGTCGATATATTCTGTGGTTTTTGCTGTTGAGGCGTCCGATTTAAGTTCAATGAATTCTGTCAAACTACTTCGCCGTTTGTTTGATTTGTCGAATTGCCACTGCTGGGCATACCACCAGAATTACTTCCACCACCCGCACTACTATTGGCAACGGGATCCAATAAAGAACCCGATTCTACATCATTTGCATTGCGTGTTGAATTTCTTTGGCGGCACATGTATGGCGATGCTGTGGGTGAGGGCAATTGGTTCTACAGAACAGAAACAGTTATATTCCATTATTATCATTTAAGGGGTTTTATTGTTAACTAATACTACTTACCAATTTGTTATTATTTTGACAGCATGTTGCCTTAACACAACCATTGTCTGTTGAGGGTGGACAATCGAGGGCACAGCAATCTGAGCCGCTCATATTTAGACTAGAAGTACCATCCGACATTATACAACCGCCACCGTCAACTTCAACAAATTCCGGTTGTATAGTTGTGGAGTGTATGCCTTCATTGTGAAAGAATTCCTTAACCTTTTCGGCAATTTTCATGTACTCGGAAAGATTGTGACATCTGCGAAAGAAAAAATAAAAATGAGGAGGGGTTGGATTAGAAAAATACAAAATTTTGTTGATGTGTTTTAAATTTGGCTTACCTTATGTGTGCGGATGCAATAATTCTATCTCCAGCCAATTGCCACACATGAAATTCATGGACAGCCAAAACACCATCAACCTTTTCTAATAATCGTTTTTGTATGGCATCAACCTGCAAAAAATTAAAACAAGAGAAAATAATGGCATGTTAATTCAATTTTTTATTTTGTTTTGTATTTATCGACAATTTTAATTTCTAAAACAATGTATTGTTTTTATTATATCATTCACCTCTATATCGCGAGGCCCCAAAATATTTTTCCAATATGAATTTTCTAGTCGAAGAGACTATAATAATTGTTTTGGGCGGGATGATATGGGAAATATTTTTAGAAATCACCAAATTACTCGGAGTTTACACAATAAACTTTTATAAGCAACTCGGAGGAGAGAGTGGTAAGAAAAGTGATAAGGGAAATTATTTCAAAAGATAATCGTAAAGAGCAGCAGCAGAGTTGCTTACAAAAGTAACATGTGTAAATTCCGAGTTACATTCCTAGAACAACGATTGACGTAGAAAAAATATACGGACAAAGACGGATATTTTTATTCCAATTTATTTCGGTTTCAAACGATTATGCGTGCAATGAGTTTGATAGAGGTTTGGGCCCGTTAATATTAACGTAACTTTTGAAAATCCTTTTAATTATTTGTAGCTATATAGGACCTCTAACATTACATTTGACGATCAAGTTACGGACTATAAATTCAGAACCTTTTTTTCGTTGTCTACGTGTTACAAATCCCATTCTGCTGTGGAGTAATATAGCGCCTACAAATATGATACAGTTTTTTCTACTTCATTTCAAAAACCCATTCTCATTTCATTCTTGATATTCGAATATGACTTAAAATTGAAATTGTTATTTGTTAATTTACCTGAATATGTGTTGGTACTGTTTGTAATAAAATTAATGCAGATTCACGCAATAAAGGCCAGACTGAATGTAATATTAAGCACACCAAAACGATAGATAAGGCTGGATCCATATAATAACGATATTTCCATTCTGTTTTCCAAACAACCTGAAATGTTGACAAAACACCGCCACCACACGGTAAACAACAACAATGTTTATTAAGATGCTTTATTATCGAGATTATTTCGCTATTAACATACCAATGCACTGATAACAACAATAATGCTGCCCAAAGCATCACTTAAGACATGTAAAAATGCACCACGCATATTCATTTGTCCTGGATCGTGACTATGGCCGTGGCTGGATTTTTTAATTTGTTTCTCTTTCTGTTAATTGGAAATAGCAGTTATTAGTTTTCTTAGTTTTATCCCAAAAAATTTTTATTAAACTCATACCTGTTTCTCATAGGCAAAATCTTCATTGCCTTCGCCATCATCAACATTAGCTAGCTCAGTAAGTCGGCTGTGGTTTCGTCTTAAACCACCACCATGTGAATGACCATGGTGTCCACCGTGTTCTATAATAAAATAAAATTATAATTAAATGCCTTTTGGATTTTTTTGCAAATTGTTAAAGTCCAAAACTTACCATAAAGTAAACAAAGTCCTATCACATTAACAAGTAAACCTAATGCACCTACAACTACTAACAATTTGGGTTCGTGTATTGTTTCTTCTTCAATAAATCTATAAGTCAAACGAAAAAAAAATAAATTTTGTTCAAATTGTAGTTTACTAAATTGCAGCATCATAAAAATGTTTATTGCATACCTTTTACAAGCTTCTATGGTAATACTGAAACATAATGCTACCAGAAACACGGCATTTACCAGTGCTCCCAAAACTTCAGCTCGCGCCCAACCAAATGTGTTTTTTGACCATTTCTTTGGTGACATCTGAAATTGAAATTAAAAAAAAGTTATTTTAAATATCATTTCAAACAATAAAAATACAAAATAAAGTTCAACGGAAACATAAGCATTAGTTTTAATTTGGAATATCTGTGTTGACTAGAGGTAATAAAAAATCTGTTTGACTTACCTTAATAGATAAAAATGATATAACTAAGGCGGCTATATCACCCAACATGTGAAAACTGTCAGCCACCAATGCCATTGAATTTGTCACATAACCGACAATAATTTCCACAAAGAAAAAGAAGCCGGTCAGCATCATCATTGACAGCAGCCGGCATTTTTTACCTGAGTATTTGGCCATTTTTGCAAATCTGAAAAAGAAACGAAAAAAATAAATTAAATAAAATTTGAATATTAAATGGTATTTTAGGTACCATCCAAAGGCGTGGATCTTTCAAAGAACATTTTTTTTTCAAAGACCATCCAAAGCGTGAATTTCTTTAAGAATATTTTTTCAAAGACCATCCAGACGTGAATTTCTTTAAGATTTTTTTTTTTCAAATTGTCAAACATTATCAAATTGTCAACATCATGACGTCACAGTTTGGCTATTGACGTTAATTTGTATTCTATAGTAGATAGATATCGTTGCTTATGTTCAATAATGAAATAGAACGAGTTGAAGATTCACAACTAAAATGTTATAGTGGATTTCTAATGAGAATTGTATCTAACGATTTAGAATTTTAATAATTTTCAATAAATTTTTTATGCGTTTTTTATTAAAGGTTTCTTTGTAAAATCAATCTGTTATCATTGCATCGATTTTCCATTGTATTTTAATATGCATTGTTTTTTATATTTTGAAATCACAACAAACTTACAGAAAAAGTTCCATTTCGTTTTTATATCAAACTCTAGGGGCAATGACGATATATTAACATAGAGATGACTAGAAAATATTTAAACAAAATAATAAAATATATTTGAAATGCACCCGCCGTTGTTTCCTTTGATGCTAGAACTACTACTGCTTAGACTGTTGAGGATATAAAATGCAAACTAAGCGTCGAAAACAAGAAAGCAAAACAAAAGAAGGGGAAATAACAATAACCACAACGACAGCAACAAAAATAATATGTGAAAATAAATAAATTAGAATATATAGCAACGAAAACAAATGAAATTGCTAAAAGGCATTTTTATTTTGTAATTGTTGTTTAGGAAACTAGAATATATTGTTGCCAGAGAATGGGATGAAGGAGGAAAGGAAGGGATGAAAAAGGGGGGTAGTATTTATGCATTTGTTAGAATATATGTAAATGATACATGCAAACGTATTGTATATGTATGTTAAAAAAAAAACAAACAAAAATATTGTGATTTTCTTTTTGTTATTCTTTGGTGGTTTGGTTGTTGGTAATAACAACAAATATTTTTTTTCTGGTACCTCCCCCACAAAGGGTCAACATTTTCAATATTTATAAATCCAATATCAGGCGAATGAAATGTCCGATTTGAACCAAACTTTGCACAATCTATTATCTTTAACAAGCCTAGATCAAGTCCGAAGTTGGAACCCGTCTACCCTATCCTCTGGTACCTCCCCCAAAGAGGATCTATATTATATAATCTTGTATATTTTATTTGAATAACCGATTTGATCAAAATTATATCTGAAACATATTTGATAAAAACATATACCTTATATAAAACGAATAATAAAACCTGTATGTAACTCCTAAGACCTCCTCCTCCGCAAACCATGATCTGAGAGTATTTATCTGTCAGCAACGCCGACTGACACTTTCTTATTTGTTTATTTTAATTTTAGATATTTTAGAATCAATAAAAAATATTCAAGTTCGTAACCTTCTTGGCTGCAATTTGATATTTCGAATTTAGTAAGGGTCAAAATACGTTCCTGCAGAATATATTTCATATACCTATGTCAATCATAGACACCATTGCAAGATACCGCACCATTGCATTTACTAAAGATTATTGTTTGACACCCCTAGTGGCATGATAACAACAATTGATCGAGCCCGGTCGATCGATAATATTGAATTTTTTAGCACGTGTAGCTCTACTTAATATCAGATTCCCAGACGTATGGACCTTCAAGTGGTGGAAGTATGGTCTTCCACAGGAAAAAAAATTGCGTAGTTGTAATCAGGGCACATAGGGCTATATGTGATAACAATTTCAAAATGATAGCGGCTTGCTTTATATCCTATAGTCAAAAATTAAACTGGTCCCAACTGTTTCCAATAAATATACAATAATCCAAACGAAACTTTGGCGTGGACCGCCTTGGGGTAACTTACTTATAGCAACAATATCAAATCAGTCCTCGACGTCGCCTTAAGCTTGAATTAAGTCCGAGTTTTACTTTGTTTTTTTTTTTTTTATAGCAACAATATCAAATCAGTCCTCGACGTCGCTTGAATTAAGTCCGAGTTTTACTTTGTTTTTTTTTTCAAAATGATTTTTTTACAAAAACAAATGAAAATTTTAAAATGTTCCTATTATTTTGAATAAAAAACAGAGAGACAACATTATTTTCAGCGAGAGGGAAGAGAGCGAGCACAATATTGTTCAATATTTACATGATACATTTTATAAAAAAATACAAAATGTGAAATGGAATGCATACACACAAATTAATAATCCGAAATATATTTTTTTTCGACTCACTATTTACATGTGGTGTTTGTATATATTTTTTATAATCTTCACGAAATTTCCAACACTCTTTCGCATCAGAACTTTTATTTGATATATTTTGTCTTTGTATTCAAATTAAACACTACTTTCTTGTTACAAAATTTTGATTTTTCCAATTGAATTTTAATTGGTGTTTCGTCGTCACCTTTAACTTAAATGTTAACACCACTCAATTGGAATGAACTCTCTGTGGTTTTGGCACAACGTTTTTATTTTCTTTTTTGATAACAAGAAAGAAAAGAGCGAACAAAAGAAAAAAGAGTTTCTCATCGCCACCACACACCACAGAAAAACAAATTATTTTCCCCGATTAGTTTGGTTTTTGTTGTTTTGCACTTGTCACACACTAAAAATACAAAATATACAATCGCAGTCATTCAGAGACTCCACCGTCAGCCGCTTGCGGATCACTTGTACCCCGCCGCCTCCTACTAAGTGTAAGACACAAGCGTACATACACACAGCACTCATTCATATCACGTTTTTTTGTTTTATGCCGACAGCACCAAAGCACTGACTGACTGACTGACTTGATGCCTGGTCGGGTCCGCACAATGCGGCGTCCAAATATATTTACTTATTTATCAATTTTTGTTTTATTTTTTCTCTAATATCCCCCAACCGACCTCTCCCTCTCTATCGTTTAGCTTTTTGTGTTTTTCTGTTATTTAGTATTTATCGGCGGTGTTGTTTTGAGAAAAAATTCTCTGTGATTTTATTATTTTATTGATGTATACAATAATAAAAATAACAAAAACAAAATATAGTTTTCTGATGATGCATCATTATTGGAAATGTGTATATTTGTAATATTGAGGCATTGTGTATGTGCATACGTAGTTTACAAGTATGTATGTATGTAATTTATATAAATTTTTAATTCTGGCAAAAGCTATTCATCAAAGCAGTCGAGGAGAACATTGTGTAGCCATGATTATTGCTTAATAAAAGGACATATACAAATAAAATTATTGTTGTAACAACAAAACAATAGTCAATAGCCGAACATTTCAACATAAAGAGAAGAAATTAGTAAAAATTTTGAAAAAATCACATTTTAAGATAATAATTTCCGACGACGGTGTTGCCGAACGATATATACACTCAGTCTATGGTTTGCGATGTCTGCGTAACTACACACAGATACTAAAGAGAGGTGGAATAACGAATGGTTCCCATCTTCTGATTTAATCTAGATTTGGTAAAACTATTATAACTTGATTTAAGCTTGGTAAAAATAAGAGTGGCACGAATGGTTCCCATCTTCTGACTTAATCTAGATTTGGTAAAACTATTATAACTTGATTTAAGCTTGGTAAATATAAGAGGTTGTGTAAAGTATGGTTCAAATCGGACATTTCATATTATTTCATTTCATTTCATTTCATTTATTTCATACAATGTAATATAAAAAAGCCAGCATGGCCAATAACTTATATTAACTTATATATAAAAAAAATAAAAACCCAAACAAAGAATAAACTAAATAAATTAAAAATACATAACAGCAAAAAACAAAATTCTACATAATGAAATTTAATGCAAACCGCTAACATAACAGATTCCAAACAAGAACCCCAATCCACTGCACTCTACTTAACTGTTGCTAAGAAAAGTGGAGGGGAAAGGAAGCTTAAGGAACCATACATATAAATATACTATATATTCCTCTCGAGCCCAAGAGCAATATCAGAACCACAGACATTAAATTCCATATGTATAAATCTATAACATAAATGCTAACGAACTTAAATAAAAATGGCTCCCCAGCCAAAAATTAAAAAAAAAGACAAAGTACCATTATGCAACCTGTAATCAGCGATTTCTTCAAAGCCAGCTTCATCAAATACGAGACAAATGCCCAAACAATTCCCTCCTATACGCAAAAGTGGAAGAGGTAAACTTACGAAGGCTCAAAGGGAGCTGATTCACGATCTTACGACTCTAACTACAAATGATCTTTCACAAATTGCAGACGAAAACCTCGGATACAACAACTGAGGGTTCCGAGAGGATCTACACATCACAAACCTACTACACAGTGGTAAATCAACATTTCTCATAATTCTATAATAACACAAAAGGATACGATATTCAACATAAGTATAAAAGGATAGGCCAAGAAATTTAACAACAAATTGGGAAACATGATGACTACGACCCAAACCATATACATAACGAACAATGGAGTTAACAACCTTTTGGAGCCGATGCAAATGACCAGAATTAGAGCCCGAAATAACCTCCAAACAATAGTTAACCTGAGACATCAACAACGACATAGCTACATTCACCCTAACACCAAGAGGCAAATATGCTTGGACACTATAAAGCCTCCTAAGCTGGAATCGCACACGGGACAACAGAAGATCAATGTGGGTCGAAAAACTAAGTTTGGCATCAATAATTACACCCAGGCACTTCATTTCACCAACAATATTAATAGTAAAGGAACTAACGCAAATATTAGGCATAGAACCGTCATAACAACAATTGAACAAAACAGCTTCAGTCTTACCCCAGTTTATATCAAGACCATTGGAAGAGATCCACATAGAGAGAGATTGCAACGTTGTGTTAGCAAGATTCTCCAACCTGGCGAGATCAGCACTCCTAAAGAATACATGTATGTCATCCGCAT